GATCGTTCTAATACTCATTTGAAATTTAAATACCGCAGTTAAGTTTGAAAAGTTCATCTTTGGTAAGAAAATTAAAAAATTGAAACGGCACAGATTAGTTCGTAAAGTTCACCTTAAAGTAAATAGAGTGAATTTAAAAATCAAATTTTAGTTGACATAGTTCATCTTCGGTGAAGTTATTGTAAACATTGTAAAGTTGATCTTAGGACAGATAATTCTAAATGAGGGGATTTGAAAGTTTAGCAACGCAGTGCTCTATTCTTACAATATATCTACATTATTAAAATTGTTAAACTTTAATTACATCAGGTTACATAATAAAGTTTAAACATGCCAGAATACAGATTCAATTAAAAAAACTTAGAAAAGGAGAACACGATCCTATTGATAAAATGCGAACAGCATGACAGACATATTTGCATGCATTAATATGTTTGACAGCACAGGGTATGCATATAAACAGAGGCATTAGGTAGTAGAGGATCAAATTTATATCAAGGTACAGCTCAGTACAGGTAAGTATAAACGTGCTTAAAGATGCTTATTTGATAATGAATCTTATTGTGTTTGTAAGATACTAAGAGGTGTCAACTGATTTTAAAAATGTATACAAACTTGCAACACAATCCGTTCTTGTCTTCTATAAAACTTTTGGTTATATGCTTATTCCATCTTTGCACCTGATCCCAACTTAAGAGCTTACAAGGATCCGTGATTTGTCTCTTTCACAAATTTGTTTTTCTTTTTTTTTTTTTTTTTTTTTAATTTTTAGATTTATCACTGTTTTTCTATTATTTTAAAAACGTTATTCATATAAACTGAAATTTTATTGTTGCAATACATATTCTTTCGTAATTTTCGATTATAAAAGCTTATTTTAAGACAAACCAATGGTCGAGTTTAAAATGAAACTGATTATATAAAATTATTATATTTCTGTCTACAACAATATATTGACCGGTTTTATGCACCTTTAGGCATGTTAAGTGTACTTGCAACTGCTGAATTGTATATGGAGGCAAAACATAAGCTAAATTACCTAATTATGGTAATAATAATCAAACATGTAGATATTTCCATACTCCAATACGACCACATATATATTGCTTAGGATTTTTTTTTATAATTAATCACGAGTCACAAAATTAAAACGCACTGTATTTCAATAGTGTAGCTATCAATATATAATCAACGACTTCATCAATGTTTTTCGATATTTTGCATCTTAACCAATTATAGCTGTTTCAGGAGAAATTAAGAAGTTTGTATGAATTTTTGTTCCCCTTTAAGAACCTCTCCGAATCACAAGTGAATCTACATTACATGGTAGCGTGTCTGAAATATATTTAGATAATAAAGAGTATTCAAACTCAAAAGTTCATTAAACAATACAATTTGGTTTTAAATTGGGGACCTCTACGACAACAGAAGTGGGATCAGGTACCATCTAGGAGTGAGAATCCCCTGCCGACCAGTCAGAACCGCCGCATTCTCCTTGTCATGGTCGAGAAATGACGAAATATTCCGTTTAGTTAATAAATAATGGTCTAACAACATTAGTATGAAAAACGTCAGTCAGCATGTGATTTTATGATAGATTATTTTGCTGATTAAGGTCATTGTATCGAGCATAGAACTTATGAAAGATGACTTTAAAGGAGATTGCTGACGTTCTTGCTTCATCGACTCGATTTTCAATAACCTACCTCGTTTCAGAAATTGTTCATAGGTAGGGCTCTTAAGTATTGAATCAACTGCGGGATATAAACCCGTTAAAATATTGTTAACTTTGGATTTCCTCTTTTGAGACACTTTCCCATTATGTTTTCTATTGCCTCTGAGACACTTAGCTGACCTGATGTTATCACTGTTTTCCTAGTGTTTTATGCAACGTTCGTCGGTCATTTTCAGTTTTTTTTTCTTCAACTGAACCAATTCTCTTTTTATAGATTCTAGAGGTTCAGGCAAACGGAAATTTTGCAAATAATATTCTTCGCCTTTCTGGCGACTGAGGAGCAAGCCAAAACTTCAAAAATTAGATTGATGGTACGTTGAAAGAATCTTCTTCTCTGCTTCTGATACACAAGCAGCCAAATTATTGGCATGCATATAAGCAGTAACTCTTTTATCCCATTTGTGAACATCAAGGTCTATTGTTCAAGCTTAGAGGTAAATTGAAAATGCATTGCATTTTCATAATGATTTCTATATACATAGATATTTAGTTGGTACACTATTTACATTGTTATATGAAACACTTGTTCGTCTACTAAAATTCTGCAAATTATGGTCCTGGATTCCGGGTTTGTGCTCTTTGGTGCACCTTAGTTCTTTGTTTAGTTTAAATGCGTTATATATTATAAAAGATTCAGTCGCGGACACTAGCACAGGCAAACTTTTTCATGCTGATAATGGGTGTCCAACCTTTTTACCTAAATTGTAAAATACATGATCTTAGAATTCATGGTTCACGCTTATTCTTATTCAGCAATCAGTTTTGTTATAAAGTGTGCTATGAATTATATTTAACAAGGTGAAAACATTCTAATTGCTTTAAGATGATCTATCGATGAGACCCTACTTGCAGTACAACCCTCGTATGTAAAATTCAGTACATTTTCTCCTAATGTGTACGCTCATTTTTCTTACTGAAACTTTTGTATTAACGTTGGAATTAAACGAAGGCACACTTTCGCCAAATTCATTCAAATAGTAATCGTTTAGAATATCTTGCACATTGAATAAACTACTCTTTATCTCTACGACACTCTCCTAGTGCAAAACAGTTCACTCAGTGCCCTCTTTCATGACTGCTTTTGATCATTGTCTCTTAGATAACATTGAATAATATTCACTGGATTTTTTTTCAACATTTATATTACTTCTTTCACCAACAAAAAAAAAAAATCAATGAAAATATATGCACAATTTTTTATTGATTCATAATATTCTTTTCATTGTATTCGTTTAACTGTTTGGAGATTCAAAATTCAAGAATATTAGAAAGAAAGAGTCTTTGATATTAAAGAAACATTTTTACAGTTTAACTTTTTTCGATTTTCTACCGAACAAGCAAACTCAGAGAACTAGTGTTTTTCCCTGCTTCAGATGTCATTGTACTTGGTTTGCAATTATTCATGGAATATTACTGACTTTTTGCGTCGATCTCCTTCATTTTCTAGATGAAGGTCAAGAAGTAAAAAATGCTATACATTACTCAAAGATGTTATAAATATGTAAAAATAAAAAAGTTCTTTTTTTCTCTCATTTAAACGGTATATCTGTTTCAAATGTAAACACAAAATTTTAAAAGATGTTTAATTTTTTTGGCCAGGTCACGGGGTCAAAAGCAGGCAATATACAAAAGAGACCTTGAAATGGCAAATGTAAATGTCAAAAATAGATAACGTATCTGACAGTTGTCTACCTTGGTTTAAATTGATCGTGCAAAGAGCGTGACCGGAGACCACCATAGAAGAGCCGTATACAGGGGATATCGGAATATTGCTAAAGAAGGAAAACCTGACGGTTTAGAAGCTGATCATAAAGTTTTTCAGACAAATGAGCTGTTAGCTTGCATCGTCTATTCTCAGTAAACATCCAAATATGAAAGAGATGTTGCAGACTATTTGGTGTCATTTATCCAGTTCAATGGGATTTATATCGAGCTCGATTCGACTTATAAATTATGCATAAAATATGGCGATAACGAATTTATCATCTTTATAAAGCTTAAAATTCCGTTAACAAGAAAAAAAAATTGGAAGCATAGTAAACATATGCTAAATGAAAATTCCAAAAATAACAAATGTGGGATCAGGTGACATATACAAGTAAGCATCTCTTGTCGACCGGTCCAACCTGCCGTGTGCTCTTTGTCACGATCGGGTAGTTAAAAAACCATAGCCAAATCAGTGAGTAAACGATGGATTAACAATTTGTATGATAAAAAATGTCGGCATACGACTTCATGATAGATTTTATTTGCTTAATAAATCATAAAAAGGATCATAAAATTTGCTAATTGTTGACTTTCAATGAGACTTGATATCTTCGTTTTATGAACTTGTTTTTCAAAATCTTGCCTTTCTTACAATTTATTTATATATAGGACATGATCTTTCGTATCTAGTCTAATTAGAGACATAAACTCTTTATGAAGTAATAAGGGTATATTGCAACATAAAAAAGGAAGTTGACAATAAAGAGGTACGTTCCAGTCATTACGCTTTTCATAAAATTTTGCTGTTAGTTTTCTTTTTACTCGGATAAAATATTCAAACATTAAAGAGATTCTCAGAAAGTGTAATATCTTTTATTACAAGTACAAACTGATATATCGAAATATGAATCGAAGGAACTATTGATAATTTGTAATGAATCTTCGTCTTACATTTATTTAAATGCCGAGTTGAAGGCCATGGCGAACCTTTTTCTTCTTCTCGTGTATAAGGCTATGTAAGATTTGTGCCTCTTTTGATGACCAAAGGTTTCAAGATGAAAAATAATCACTCGAGACTCCGTTTTTGACTTGAACTAATTTGCATGTTTTGCACTGACAAGTTATTTTTAGTTCTTTTTCATTTTCATTTTTCACTCTCAACCTTTCTTCGCATTTTAAGACAAAAAATGTTTCTTTATCTTTCTACAGATAATTGTACACAATCTTTCTGATTATTCATTTATGCCAAATATGTCACCAATACCCTAAAAGGGCGAATTCTTGGAATCTAATGACATTAGAATTTGTAAGGTATTTTTAACGCAATTTTTAAGCATTTTCAATAAAGTGTCCAACTTCTTCAGTAGAAAGTTATTGTATCAAAAGAGGTGCCCGCATATATATACATTTGTTTGCTGTTTAGCATAGCTATTTGTGTATCATTATCTATATATTGTTATTTGTTTCATTAATCTTGTAAGCACTTAAAGGTGACATGTTAACAATGATGATTGTGCGACTGATTTATAGTCTTACAAAAATTTCATTTCTATTTCAGCTATGAAACGAAATATTCTCCAAATTTACTGCAATGGATTTCGATGGCATCCGTTTCGCAGTCAGTCCTCGTCTACCGTTTACGCTTCCAAAGAATCCACCGACTCTATTCGATCAAAGACATTGACAGATGTACCAGGTCCACGAGGGGTGTACAACATTCCCTTCATCGGAAACGCCTTACAGTTTTATCCATACAGTAAGTACAGAGGCATTGTAAGTTGCATGCATGTACATTTAAAATTACTAGTGAATTATGACATATTGGTAGTAAAATGCTCTTATGTTAAACATGATGTGACAAAAAAATGTTTACTCAGTTGAACTTGAGGAAGAAAATCATGAATGCTTTGTCGTAATTCTAGTATTTGATGATTTGTGCAAGGATTTAGGCTAGAAAGGACTAGTTAAAACGTATAAGTAAATGAATCAATTGTTTAAGTGAAGAAAAGTAGATGACTAAAATTGATGCTCAATTTGGGTACACTCAGAGAGAAATGCGAATGAGATATGTCCTTAACCGAGTAATTTGTAATAAATGGTGACAGCGTCTAAGTTAATTCAGTGGAATGTGTATATAGTCAAACTGTTTAAGGAATCACTGTCAAGTTTTGAGAGTATGCTAGGGCATCAACAATAGTGGGAAACATGGGATAATTTGCATAACGGGCGAAGCCCGTTATGCTTAAATTATCCCATGTTTCCCACTATTGTTGATGTCCCTGGCATACTCTCAAAACTAGACAGTGATTCCTTATATTTCCATTTTATTGTGAAATAAAATTGTAGACTTAGACAATAAGAATGTAGACTAATCGATTTAAATTACACGAGGACTTCCATGCTAATTTCAATAGTCCTCGCCAACTGACGTCAAACACAAAGGCAGGCGCACGAGATTTACATGCCTATTTGGCTTCCTTTGCGTCAGACACAGAGACAGATGCGCACGAGATTTGCATGCGTATTAGGCCTACTTAGCTGCTGACCTATCGACCTGCCTAATTTACATTCCGGCAGAATTATCAGGAAATCAACTCCGCTTACTTTCAAAGGGTTATTATAGAGAAAAAATTTAGAAATGGAAATATATACTAATTAAGGAATTTACTAAAAGTTATATCGATTTTGCCTTAGCAATTACGTCATGAAACCAGATCATCTGGATTTGACATATAATTTGAGAAAAATATGTCTTTTCTAAATAATATATATTATGTTGTCAATTCTGACATATTGTGGCATGCAAAGTTATATTTCAGTGAAAAAGAAAGATACTCATCTGTTCTTTCGAGAACTCAACAAACGCTATGGTAAACTCGTAAGGATACGCCTCGGATCTAAGAACTGCCTTTTGTTGTTTGACCCAACGTTAATAGGTGAGGCTATGGCACAAGAGGGAATCTATCCGGAACGATATCCTATTCCAGTGATGGAGGCTTACGTGAAAAACACAACGAGATCCCTCTTTAGCCAACAGTATGTCCACGCTAAGTCCTGTAGTGTCGATTTTTTTGCATTAGTCTTTCATTTTGATCTAACTGAAGTTTATCTATGTTATAAGAAAAGGTCAAGAGTGGCAGAGCATACGAAGTCCTGCACAACAAAGTATAAAACCAGCTGTCATAAAAAGTTACTTAGGCCAACAAATCCAGTGCGCAGAGGAACTGGCCATGTGGCTTGGTAAACATGGAGACAATAACCCGAATGTCAAAGACATGTTCATGAGATATTCGGCCGATGGTAATTATTATGGGAACTTTTTTTAATCATCCGATTTAGTACACTTAATAAATTTTATACTGGTCAAAAACATTAATAATTAGCCTAATTATAAAATTTCAATTGAATTAGCAAATTCAGTAGTGGCCTTCGACAAAAAGATTGGTTTTCTTAGGAGTCTGGACCACCCTGATCCTGAACTGGAACTCTTTCTACACAGCATCTCTCGGTTCATGGAGGCCATAGGTGACAGCTTATTTACAGTTCCGTGGTTTAAGTTCTGGCGAACGAAAGTGTACGTGGATTTTGAGACAGCAGCTGATACAGTTTATAGGTAAAATTAAACAAACATACAACATCTGATCTCCATCTTCGGCCAACATTCTTTTGAAAAACATTATTTTTGTTTTAGAATAAGTCAAAAGTACATTGATGAGGCAAGACGAGAATTAGCCCGCCGAGAAGGAAGCCATCATCTGGACGGAAATGAAGGTGACCTGACAATTCTAAAATCTCTTCTACAAAATGAACGGATGCCCGATTCGTGTCTTGTAACTCTGATGTCAGCGCTTTTGTATGGCGGGGTGGAACAGGTACATTTACGTTGTGTCAAGAGGTCTGTCATGATTAGTTAATCTGACCATGTATAGTAAAAGTATTATATATTCTTTTAACTTTAATTACCCCCATTTGAAAAGTGGCATATGTAGTAATAGCCGTTCCGTTCGTAACACTTGGAAAGCCAGGCCTTCTCCGAAGCTCCTTCTATACAAATTAAATTTGGTTTGACAGAACTTTCACGAAATCCTAGTGGCAATGCACTGGCATTGTACACATCTTATTTTAGTTTCGATAACTCACATATCTGGGGTTCAATTTCCTAGAGCAGAACATGGACACTGCCATTCTTTCTATGGTGGTACCTTCCTCTTATTACAACTACTCCTTTACCACTAAATAAAATTTTTGATTGTTTATTTGAATAAATGAATTTATAGACATAGACATAGAAAAGACATATTATATATATAAAAAAAGGCTTTATGTCTTGAAGGACAGGGTCATCTAGCAAGAAAAAATAATTGGAGTTTTCTTTCTTTAAACTTTATTTTTACTTTTATGAAAAGGTTTCCCAGTCGTTAATGTGGATGTTCTGGTTGCTAGGGAAGTCCCCAGACAAACAACAGATTCTTTATAATGAGATTTCGAACCTAGGGGATTCCCCTCTTACGGCAGCTCAGCTTGGACACTTGCCATATCTGAAAGCTTGTGTCAAAGAAACATTCAGGTATTATATTAAATTTGTATCGTGACAAGTGAATTATTTTTCTCCCACGGCATAATGTTTAAAAAAAAAATCAAAACGTCCCTCCAGTTTTTTGCTCACTGATTTGTTTGTTTTGTCTTGTTTTTAAAAAGAATTGTCCCTCCAATAGCAACTGGAATCGCAAGAAAACTGCAACATGATACAGAAATTGGGGGATACAACATACCTAAAGGAGTACGTATCTGGTATAATGTTTTGTCATTTGATTACTAATCTATAATATCTTTTTTTCAAAGTAAAATATTTCTTTTCTTGATGATGACACTAGCAGGCCTATGATACAAACACTAAAAAATATACCTCAAGGTAGTAACTATAGTAAATTCTACTCTTTTTGCAGACCTTCATGTTTTTCTGCAACAACACACTATCATTGTCCGAAGAGCAGTTTGAAAACCCAGGAGAGTTTGTCCCAGAGCGGTGGATACAAGGGAAAAACGATTCCCAGAAACAGAGACTTATGGGACTGTGTGTCCTACCGTTTGGGTTAGGTAAAAGAAACTGCCTAGGTCGGCGGTTCGCTGAGCAAGAGATCCATCTGGCTGTTATAAAGGTACAGTACAATTAAAAGGTTACCTGAAATTAGGGCACGATTATAATGTATTACACTTAAACACCATTTATTTTTTTTAATCGTATACACTGTACAAGGAAATAAATACTAGTATAGTTTTTATCTATTCATCCTAGTTACAATCTCGCCATACATGCAATAGGCTTGTCAAAATAGCGCAAGAACTATCGATGCAATTTTGCAAGTCTATCAATGTTAGGCTAAACAAGAAAATGTTAACATCATATGAAAAAGATTCTATTCCTTACTGAAGTCCAAGAATTATATGATATTATAGCTAAAAGCATTCTTAAAGTCAAATAAATTAAAAGCATTATTGAGAAATCGATGTTGTATAGAGGCGGGTTCGGCCTCCTGTTATCATTGTAATCCTTGTTCTTAAAGAAGGCAGATATGTGATTCATTATATCTTATGAAATATATGAAAATAACAAACAGCAGCCAAGCTTTCAAAAGTCCATAAAGCAATTCAAATCAGGAGCAGAGCAAACACGGACCTCTAAAACATGAGAGGTGGGATCAGGTGCCATGGAGGTGTGAGCATCCCCTACCGACCGGTCACATCTGTCGTGTGCTGGGAAATAACGGAAAAATTCGTCGACAATTCAATGTGTCGTAAATGGTCCAACAATTAGTATGAAAACGTCAGTCAGCATTTGACTTAATGATAGATTGTATTGGTTGACAAGGTCATTGTATAGACCATAGAACTTACGAAGTGATGAATTTAAACGAGACTGCTGATACATGTATTCTTGTTTCATCAACTTGTTTGTCAGTAACTTACCTCAATTTAGAAATTATCCATACCTAGAGCATGCTGCTGTGTATCAAATCATCTGAGAGAAATAAACCCTGGGAATTTGACGATTGAAAAGTAAAAGTCATCACGTTGAGGAAATGATTCGATTTTTACAATCAGAATTTAGAGAGTAGTTATGGTTCTTAAAAATTGAAAACTCGTGCAATTTTTAAAGTCGAAATTTTCAAAATATGCATTTATATACATATATATCGAGCTTTCTCTTGCTTTGTAACTGTATGATTTTAAAAATAGCAAACTTTACATGAAGTTTGTTCTTAATGACCTACTTTAGACAGAATTCTTGACACACATTTTACAAGTATTTCATGAATTAACATTTTTGTCATTTATACGCTTAAGCTAAATTTAGATAACATAAATGGGGTTACGTTGTGGTTGCATGTCAAAAGATCAAGTTAATTTAAGAATTTAGTTCATTATTTTTTATTTCGAAAATTACCACACAAGTATAGGAAAAGTACTGTTTTAAATCGTGTAAATTTTATACAGAGCTTAGAGTGTGTATAAAACTCGCTTTAATCCATCTCAAAATTGCAAATATTTAACATCAATATAATTATAGATTATATCTCATCCTTTAACTTCGTTTGTAATTATTTTGCAAATATTTTCAGATTTTACAAAACTTTGAAGTGGAAGTTACTGACGACTGTCGTGATGCCCTTCCAAAGTATACAACGTTTGCTGTTCCTGATCGACCAATCAAATTTATTTTTAAAAAGCGATAACAATTTTTTTATTGCCCAAGCACCGGAACCTTTCAGTGCGGCCCCCCTTGATGTGACGTTTGTTTCATTATTCTTCGGTTGGTCGGTCACACATCGAGCTTCTCTGTCAGCCAGCATCACTCATCATATGACTGAACATGCATCGACAACCTCTAAGTTTACTGAGAACATCAAGTGCATCTGTTATTTATAGTTAATCAATCATCGTTATATTCAGTGCACAATACTCAATTGTTTACTAGTATTCTGATGTTTCTATGATAACATTAAGTTTTTGTTTGTGCAGATATTTTATGTTTTATTCTGAAAATATATTTGTTGATAATTTTCAAATAGAAAATGCATGATATGTATATGGATTTCATCTACATTAACTATTAAACAAATAACTGAGACTTTGTAGTTATGAATTTTGGAGAAAAAAAATTGTATGGGTTATACTGTATATTCTTCGATTATGGTGTGAACATTTTCCATTACCTGCTGATTTTCATTATCTGACGGATCAGTTTTAAATGTAAATTAAGTTTTAAAAAAAATTAAGCAAGTAGAAAGTTGACTTTTTTCCTAGCATATAGATGTATTACTATCCTTAGCTAGGATTCAGAAAACCGCCATCTAAATATAACTTACACATTTACATAGCATGTGTTTAAGAAATTAGAGTTCTCTAAATGGAAACACCTTTACATCAACATAAGATATATTTAAATGAATTCGTTTTTTCTTCAAAAATCATGGTAAAACCAATACACATACATATGTATTTCATATGTATAATACCGATTAAAGACATAATAATCTGTAAATTCCTTCAACTTACACAAGTTTTAATTCATTTTAAATCTTTAACCACATTCCAAATTAAAATCCACATGCAACTTGTATTTCTTTAAGATATTTGTCAACTATTGCTTCCAAGCAAATTAAAAAACTTCTACCGTGACATATATACGAGGGTTGTCCGGTAAAATCGTGGACAAGTTGTCTAGTTCGAAAAATAATCATCATTGCGTTCTGAAATTTTCACTACTTTTTAGTAGATATAATATGAATATACATACCAAATTTCAAGTAGATATATAACTAAATAAACGAATAATGAGATTTTATGTTATGTATTGTATCGTCTTACGGCGCACGGATGATAACGTCAAAGTGTCTAAAACAGCGTCATATTTCATCTTTGCTAAAAATAAAGTTGGATAAGTCCTACTTCACTTGAGGAATTTCATTGGTGCATATATTTGAGTCTCCATAAACAGTAGAGGAACAAATCTGACACACACATGCGATCTTCTGAAGATTTATTATTACGTTACGGACAGTATTCTCGCCATCATTCAACAAATAGACAATCTTATATCGACCGTCAACAGTCACAACGTCTTTTTTGCTATTACTATCGTATCAACATTGTTTACATTGCGATGTCGACGATATCGTCATGTAGAAACAATGACAATGTAGACGATGTAAACGCGATATCGTATCAACATTGTTTATATTGCGATGTCGACGATATCGTCATGTAGAAACAATAACAATGTAGACGATGTAAACGCGATATCGTATCAACATTGCGATGTCGACGTTGACGATGTCTTCATGTAGAAACAATTACAATGTAGACGATATAAACACGATATCGTATCAACATTGTTAACATTGCGATGTCGACGTTGACGATATTGTTATGTAGAAACAATAACAATGTAGACGATGTATTCACGATAACGTGTTTGTGCATTGCCACTTTCCCAATCACGAATTGATTGAGGGAACTGGACATGAATGGAAAATTAACCAAATGACTTGAAATTTTTAAAAAGACGACAAAATTGATTGTGGAATCGATTTAAGATCTTAAGTTTTTTCTAAATCTTAAATATTTGAAATTTTTATTTCGAATTAATACTTGTTTTCTTGTATATAACCTTGGTTTTTTTTACCATGCGCCGTAGGACCCTGCCATGTACACATTCAAGCATAGTAAAATCTCTATTTTTTTGTTGATATATTATCAAAAAGTTATGACGCAATTAAATATGATTAATAAACATTTACTGAAAATTTCAGCTTAGTGCGCCCTTTACTTTTTGAGAAAACGCTTTGTCCACGATTTTACCAGACAACCCTCGTAGAACATTTCAGCTGGCGTTATGATTTCATAAATACCGTATTATGAATTGTGCGGAAGATCACGCAATATTTGTATTCATATGAAGTAAAGTTTATTTATAAACTGCATGGAAAAAATTCGACACTTAGATTTATCGACGACGTATTAATTTTTAACAATAGTTACTTCAATTCATATGTCGACTCTAAGCCTATATATCTCAATAAACTTGAAATAAAAGATACCACAGAGTCTAACACATTTTTTTTTAAATTTCATATTTTACTAGAAAGAAAATTTCATAATAAACGTGATGGCTTCAACTTTTCGATCGTCAACATCCTTTACTTTTGTAGCATTATATCTATGCCGTTATCACTTGTTGCATATGCATGATGTTTATGTCTCCACGTTGATTCGATATGCAAGAGCAAGCTCTATGTACAAACAATTTGTAAGATGAGGCTAGCTACTGAAAAAAGAAATTGACGAAACAAGAATATCAATATTTTCTTTTGCACTTCAAAGTCAACAATTTAAATTGCAAGTTCTATGGTCAAAACAGTGACATTCTCAGCAAAAAACATTACATCAAATGTCTGACATTTTCCATATCAGTTGTTGGACCACTTTTAATACAGGGATTTGTATATAGATTTTTTTTGTTTCCCGATCATGACAAGGATGACATGTTGGGTGTGACCGGTCTGCAGGGGGTGCTCACTTCTCCATGACAGCTAATCCCATCTTTGGTGTTTTTAATATACTTTTCAAATTCCTAGGAATCATTTATAGCTTTAGGCTCAATTTTAAATTAAAATAGGATATGTAAATAACAGAAAATGTTCATTATGCACCTTAAAAGACAAGCATATCATCATTTATGTTATGACTTTTAATTCATTATTTCTGCATTTTAAAATATTATACAACATGTTTGACAACTGATAAATGAGTTCTGAACTATTCCTTTCACTTTACGCTTGTGGATGCCTGTCATTTCTGAAGTCAAATGCTGCATAAAGATATATCTTTCTGCACTTGTAGAGATCTCAATAAATCCTAGAGTCTTTCACTTACGGGGTCATTGCACTGTCACTGGATAGAAAGCTTACTCCTGTCTGTGGAAGTCCCCTATAATGAAGATTTCAAAGATTCATCCTACAAATTGAAGTGAAAATTATCTATTTTTGGGTTAACAGGCAGCTGTTTATCGTAAAATAGGCTTACTTCAAAGTGCTAGGGCACAGTATTAGCTAGAGATTTCTTACTACAAATGTATCGCAGCATTATTACCTACAAAAAGCGTAAAACAGCACATGGAGAACCCTGCAGCCTGGGAATATTGCAGCGCGATGACAAAATAAAAATATTGTTACACATTTATGTTTTTATAGTACCAGTATATTTCTTCTATCCTCCAATACATGTTTTATAAAATAAGGACATTGGGACTAAGGTAAATAAAGAGATCAGGGTTTTATACTTATAACATGTAGATGCTGGTAAAATTAACTATATCAGTCTTTTAATCATATAAATGATTTTTAAACAGTTGTGCATTTGTCTGTGTGTGGGAAGGGCAGTGCAGATCATTGGTGTTATAGTATGTTAATATTACATACTTGAGACATTCTTTGTTTTCTTTTATCCAGCCTTTACATTAAGACATTTCGGGGTAAAGTCTCCTCAGAGGCCCCCTTAGAAGCCACACCAGGAGACATTCTAATTGTTTTTATATCCATTTATTCATTTTTATTTGTATGAAAGATCATACCATTTGTTTATTGAATTATTATCATAGTGATTTAACAAAATTGTGTGTGTATGCTTGCTTTTGTAATTGTAATGAATAGTGTCATTTGGAAATTCATTAAAAAAAAAGCAACACAGTAAAATTTCAAATGTTGGAGAACCCCAGACTTAATTCTTCACTCATTCACCTGAACACAGAATGGGATTCCCATACGGCAAACTAAAACAGCTTACCTTCCATGTTGAGGAAGAAGACGGTGAAATAGATCATCAAGGACTTTCATTTTCAGAATGAAATTCCTTTCACGTCTTGTCTGCCTCTTTGAAATTCTATGTTGATCGGTAATAATGAGTTCACCTGTAGAGATAAAATACATTAATTGTCTTCATTACATTAATTAACTCCCACACAATAAAGGTGTAATAAGTAAACAGGTGCCAATAAACATGATAAAGAAGAACAAGGAGGACACCTGGCATAAGCAGTACATGCTGATTAGAACAAAAGTGTGTTAATTTTTAACGCTGCATATTAAATAATTGAAGGAAATATTTCAGAAAGTGATAAATTTCAAGAAAGGTCAGGATCGTAATCATTTTTCATGAAACCATGTAATTGTTAACAAACAATTATCTGGGGGAAAAAACAAAAAACATCTGCCAAAATTAATTTATTTTCATGATAATGCAGCTCCAAGAAAAGACTGATAAAAATGCATTAAAATATTATTTTGGTATCTCATTAAATAATATATCATCATCAATGGTCATTACACGCTGTGGTGTATAGGCATGTTTTAAAGAACAGATTTAGACCTTTATTGTGCTGTGGATATAGTAAAGGATAAATAGTCTTTTAATTGCAACTTCTTTCTTTTCCCAGACTGATTTTTAATAAAAAAAAAAAGCATGTTTAATAATATGTATATACATTTTTACATCACACATAAAAAAATAAGTGTTTGTGCATGGACATAACACAACTGAATAACCATGATAACTATGAAATAGCAGTTGTCTTTATGTATATGGGAAGCTTATGATAAGGGAGGGCATGTACACTGTAAGAACAAGCCTGGCAGATGTTTCTAGCTGATAACACTTTTGATTTATTCCAAGAAAATTGCAGTATGTATTCTATTTCAACATTGACTTTCCACAGCTTGTTAGAGCTGAAAACACCCTGGTTTGTCTTAAGATTGCAGCTCTTGTTTTATTTATAGTTTAAGAAGTATTTTATTCATAATATACAAAGAGTACAATATGAATATGGATTGAACAACAGGCCAAGGGCCTATTTTAGTTCTCTCCATTTGAGATCAAGATACACATGGTACAATTAAATTACTGTACATATTTTAATTTCAACAAAACATGTATTACAAATTAATATTAAGAGAATTATAAAGAATACATAGTTGAAGAAAAATTGAGGAGAAAAAATGCATAAAGAAAACAATAACATAAACTTAAAAGAAAAGAGAGAAAAAAAAAATGATGGAAAAAACAAACAAACAAAAAATTAAGTAATAAGAATATGGAGAGGAAGGCTCAGACTAAAATCTTTTAGTGTTTTTTATAAAATTATGAACTTGGTCAAAGAATAACATATTTTCTCTAAGAGATAGACAATCATAACCTGATAATACAATATTGACATCTCTTGGTATGTCATGGTCACTCATGTATGTAATTAAAATGTTCCTGGCAAAATCGTAACATGGGCATTGAAAGAAAAAATGAACAGAGTCTTCAAAACAATATCCACATTTTAAGCATTTAGGTGAATCAACTAAATTATGATTAAACAAGTCTGCATTAAGATTACTAGAGAAGTTTCTCAACTGACAGTGGAGTATATTTAATTTTCTTTGTCCATAATTGTATAATTTGGATTTTGTTTTATCTTCAAGATTTTTATTTTGCATACACTGTTTAAACTTTGCTACACTTGTTACAGATTTTAAGCTATCTGGCAAATCATTCCATAATTTAATTGTAGATGGTAAAAAACTATTGTAGTATGCAACTGTTCTAGTGATTGGTAAGTGATACAAATTATTGCGTAACGCGTAATTATGTGAAACAGGTAGGCATTGATTGACCATTTCTTGCAAATATTCAGGTGTATAATCATTAAGTATTTTGTACATAAGTGTAAGCTTATGTTTAGTTCTTCTTTCACTAAGTGTTTGCCATCCTAATTCATTATACAATTTTTGTTTTGAAGAATTGCGTCTTAACCCAGTAATGATACGCCCAGCCTCTATTTGCACACTCTCTAATAGATTACTCTGTTCCTGTGTGCAATTATCCCATACTACATTTCCATATTCTAAAATAGGCCTTATAAAAGCAATATAAATACTAATAAGGGAATCTCTGTTTAATTTGTATTTAAGGGTGCGAAGAACATTTAAACGTTGACATGCTTTATCATATATTTTGGATATATGTTCTGACCAACCACCATTGGATTGTAGTATAAGTCCAAGGTGGCAGTGACTTTGCTGTTGTTCTATGTAACTATTTACATAACCAAATGAGATTTGTGGATGAGCTTTATTTGACCGGGTAAAATTAACATTTACAGTTTTGCTAGGGTTAAAGTCTACCATCCATTGTCTGGACCACTGTTTAATTTTTTCCAAGTCATTTATTAAAGAGACGGCAGGGGCTTGTGCATCAGAGTCTACAATTACAAACAAAGAAGTATCATCTGCAAATAACCTAATTTGATTTTCTAAATCTTCAGTTATGTCATTAATATATATCAAAAAGAGGAATGGTCCTAATACCGAACCTTGTGGGACGCCTGCATTTATACTTTCTCTAACTGAGGAGTACCCTTCTAATAAAACTTTTTGTTCACGATCAGTAAGATCTTGTTTTATTTGATCCTGACCTTCTTCAGTTTGTTAATGGCTGATATGACTTTGATTAATTATGTTCCCCAAACGAAGTTGGGGAACATATTGTTTTTACTCTGTTTCTTATTATTATTATTATTTTTCTTCTTCCTGGGAAAATTTTGTCCACGAGTGATCTTGTAAACTACACATCCGACTAAGGTAAAATGTTTTTAGGGTCAGTAGACATGTTATGTAGATTTGCCGAACGAAGGTCATTTTGCGCGCACGTGCTTGCAAGAGCGCGCACGTGCAACACGTGAAATGACCAATATAATGGATATTGCTGTAACTTTTCTTTTTTTTGATGAATTTTTTTGAAACTCATAATATAAGGATACATTAGTAGTATAGACAAGATGGCATGGTCAAAATAGCAAGATCTCACGTGCATGCACGTGCGCTTCGCTCTGATTGGCTGAAACTAAAGTCTCAATATCTTTCTTGTTTCTTGTCATAATCTTTTGAAATTTGAATGTATTCCTACATTATGAAGATCTACAGCATGATATTTAAACATTTTCATGAAAGCATGCGCATGCACGCGTGCTGCAATCTGATTGGCTGAAACTTTAAATGGCTATATCTCCTTTGTTTTTTGACGAAATGCTTTGAAATTTAGAACAAAGTCATGCATTAGGATATCCTAAATTATGATATAGAAAAAAATCATGAAATCACGTGCATGCACGTGTGCTGCAATCTGATTGGCTAAAACTTTATATGGCTATATCTCCTTTGTTTTTTGACGAAATGTTTGGAATTTTAAAATGTAGTCATTCATTTAGATATCCTTCAATACGATAAAGATAAAAATTTATGAAGTCATGCGCATGCATGTGTGCTGCAATTTGATTGGCTGAAACTTCCAATGGCTATAACTCCCTTGTTTTTCAACCAAACAGGATGGGATTTAGAACATAGATAAATAAAAGGGACTCCTACAAGAACGTGTAGTCATTATGCACGTGCTTGCACGTGCGTGCACGTGAAATGAGTTAAATTAATAATACACTCGAATGAGTGTATTTTTAATACTTTTGGATTAAATGCTTTGATATAAAGTATATTAAAATTTTAGATAGTGTAGACAAGATAATATGGTCGTTACGCACATGAACACGCGTGCAAAGCCTATTTTTTTAATATATTTTGTATTTTTCTGGGAAGACCTTGATTAAGTCTGCTGCAATCTGATTGGCTGAAACTTTAAATGGCTATATCTCCTTTGTTTTTTGACGAAATGCTTTGAAATTTAAAACAAAGTCATGCATTAGGATATCCTAAATTATGATATAGAAAAAAATCATGAAATCACGTGCATGCACGTGTGCTGCAATCTGATTGGCTAAAACTTTATATGGCTATATCTCCTTTGTTTTTTGACGAAATGTTTGGAATTTTAAAATGTAGTCATTCATTTAGATATCCTTCAATACGATAAAGATAAAAATTTATGAAATCATGCGCATGCATGTGTGCTGCAATTTGATTGGCTGAAACTTCCAATGGCTATAACTCCCTTGTTTTTCAACCAAACAGGATGGGATTTAGAACATAGATAAATAAAAGGGACTCCTACAAGAACGTGTAGTCATTATGCACGTGCTTGCACGTGCGTGCACGTGAAATGAGTTAAATTAATAATACACTCGAATGAGTGTATTTTTAATACTTTTGGATTAAATGCTTTGATATAAAGTATATTAAAATTTTAGATAGTAGATAGTGTAGACAAGATAATATGGTCATTACGCACATGAACACGCGTGCAATGCCTATTTTGAAATATATTTTGTATTTTTCTGGGAAGACCTTGATTAAGTCTAAATTCCATAAAGTATTTCTTATTTAATAGAGATTACAGGGAATATGGCACCAAAAGGAAGTTGGGGAGCGTTTGGGGAACATCTGTAACGGTCCCCGTTACAATTAGCACTAGTTATAAGTTGATGTACCTGTTTTATTTTGGCCCTGATTTTCTCCAGTTTGTCAAACAGTTCCTGATTGGTGGGATCAATTAAAGGAAGTTCCTCAAGGAGCCTTAACACACCCTGTAAGACCTTACAAACTCTGTAACAGATTTAGTTTAAAGTTATCTAAATTATGTATATACTAAATACACACAAATGCTCAGCAAAATAAACCAGATCTTGAGCTGTTGATACTTGAATAGGGGCTATTTTTAAAATTTAATATGTTTTAATTCATTTGCACATAAACATGCTACTGAAAAGGGTTCTGACTTTTGTCCCTTAGTTGTGTTCAATGGACATTGCATTTTGTGATATTACAAGATTTTAATACATGATGTAATTATAAAAACTAATTAAGAATAATCTTAAAATCATTCAATTGAACTTTAGTATCTTGAACAGCAATCATATGAATGTCATGGATACCGTATAAGTGGAAATTTTAGCGAGACGCAAATTTAGCGATTTGTCCTTAAAAACTGGTAATTTATTTTTAGCGAGATGTTATTTTAGCGATTTTAAAATGCATATTAAAGAAGTTCTTACAAATAAAACGCAATTAATTTTTACCGATATTCAATTTTAGAGATTTCGGCACCCTCGCTAATAATGCCAAAATTAAATCCTCACTAAAATTTCTACTTATACGGTATATATATAAATTTAAAGTGATTTAATGGGAGTCCAAACCAGATATACATATTTTTAAGTATTAAATTACCCTTGATAATTCAAATCCTCAGATATCTTGAAGGTTTTTTCTTGGTTTAAGATAAATGAGGTTTGACTGTATTCAATCAAATATATGGCACCAGGAAAAATAAACAATGTACCAGCTAGAGAGTATATTTTAGAGATCAAAGGAATGGAAGAATGTCACATTAATAACAAGCATTCTGAGAGTATTGCAAAAGCAATGCATGTCCCCTAATGGGTTCCCCTTTTCTCTTTAGGATACAAGCTCGCTTGGAACTTAAATTTAGTGCATAACAAACTCTATCTTAATCTAATTATGAAAAATTAAAAATGCCATAATTATGTCAAAAACCAATGAAATGAAAAGAAATTCAAACACTTTCTGTAACCCATCAAGATACACTCACACACCAAAAATCAGCTCAGTATCTGCAAGTGCTCAGAAAAAAATGTGGAAAACCAAATAGGACAGACTGACAGAAAGACAGAAGGGCATCTAGATGGATGGATGAATGCAAGGACAGACAGACGGGCTGACAGACTCAAAGGAAACCTATAGTCCCCTTCAGGAGGGGACTAATAAATGGTGTCCAGTCAAGTCGTACACAAACCGAGTCGTACACAAACCAGGTCGTACACAAAAAGTCAACTCGTACACAAAAAAAGGTCAACTCGTACACGAACTAGAAGTCAACTTGTACACAACATTTATATACAATTGTTTTGAATTAATCCTACACGAATAATGTTTAATCTATTAAAAAAATAATAAAAGCGACAGAAGAGAAGTATTACTTTTCTTATTTAATTTTTTTTGATAAATACTTAATTGGTTCAACTTGTTTGAGTTTTATTTACAACTGTTAGGAATTAATTCTATGTGAATAATGTATAATCCAGAAAAAAATGAGTATATTAAAGAATTTTGTTATAACTTTATTTTTAGATTTTTTTTTCAAAAAGACGTTGGTGGCTTGACTTAGATTTTTTTTCTTCTCAAAAATACGTAAGTGGTTTGAGATTTAAAATCAACCCGATTCAACCGTGGCTTCTCTTATTAGGTATTCATACCATTATTGTTAAACCAACACAAGCGCGGTGGTTTCTTAGATCTGTTCGGGATCTGCGGCAAACGCTAATTACGAAATGCTCCTAATTTGGTTCAAATTTCTTCATTTCTTAAGAGATTACGAGAGACATGTTTATCCTGCCGTATAACTGTCTTTTTAATTAGAAAAAAAAAATGATTTTTTTTAAAAATTGTTTGCAATGATACGATATACCATTAATATCTTACGATGTATTTTGATCGCATTTACTATCTAACCTAAATTATGTATATAACGATATTCCCTATGTTGCCATAAAAACTTTCCTATCTAAAGTATATCACGCTTTATTTATATACTTACATTTATAAAAAGAAGAATAATTTTAAAATGTAAAATTTACGTATCTTGTTGCGATAATGTTTAATAATTATAAATCAAATTTAGTTGTCTATAAAGATATAAAATATATTTACAATTAAATCCACGGAATAAAGAAATAAATAAATAGATTTTTTAAAAAACCGGACTTCTCAGTTATGTCAGGGACTTATATAGTATATGAAATCCATCGTTATGTATTAAATAAATATATATCGAAATAACAAAAGTGTGTATAGGATATGCATGACCCTCGGATTTAATTACGCCGGGAAAATCTTATTAAAAAAACAAAACAAAAACAATCTGCGCAATCAGAGGCATAAAGTTGATTAAGAATTCAAAATGCACAAGAAAAACCTTTGTGTACGAGTTGACTCCTCAATTTTTATAACGCTGGGGAAAACTATACCTTAAATCACGCAGGAAAACCTATGTACGAATGGCAATATTTTGTGTACGAGTTGACTTCTGGTTTTTGTGTACGAGTTGACTTTTTGTGTACGACTCGGTTTGTGTACGACTCGGTTTGTGTACGAGTTGACTGTAAATCTAATAAATCATAACCAAACAAAATCTAATCAAAATGTTCTGCTTATTAAGTTTTCTTTTTTTTAAAAGAAACCTCATGTGTAATCAATGATCAAATTTTCCATATAAAGAAAATCTTTGCCTATGATGTGGCAATAAAAATACTTAGCAGAGGAAGTAAATGTTATCAATGGTAAATATGAAAACATAAACAAGTTATCTACCTTTGTTTCTTGTCATCATCTTTAAATTTCTCAAGCAGAATTCCACAAAATCCAGAATAAAATCCAATCTAAAAAACAAAAAAATGTAAAAATCATATGGCATAAATAAACTAAATCCTTTGCCAATGAATCCCCCTCAAATACAATTTATAAAAAAAAAAATCAGTACACCCTAAATTTTACTGAACCTGGTAAATTCAGGAAGTTTACATATATTTTTTATCTCACAAAAAATTCAGCCCCAGTCTCCTGCAAGAATGCCCAAAGTGGGAGAGAAGATTCAGGAATCATTTTGTGTCAGCCACGTATTGATTTGCACCTCAACTAAAATACTGGGATGACCTCTTAAACTTACTAGTACATACATGGTATAAAACCGTACCTCTGAGCCAACAGCAGCACCTTTCTCCCAGCCAAGTTTGCATCCCTCTTGATAACCTGTCTGTCTCCCTACACTCAGCCCAGCATTGTAACCCTCTTGGCGGAACCTGTTTAACAAAACCCCGATTGAACGAATCTAAATTTTATTTTCTATTACAATAAACTTTCTAATCTCATACCTAGTATTAAAACACCCAGGTTTTAACTAATATTTTCATATCCACATGATTGTAAGGCCAATTTTAAATCAACATTTATATTCTCTCATTGAAAAACTTTAAAGGCACATAGACCTTGAAAATAACCTGACTGTTTATTAACCCTTTGTGTGCGGGAACCCAATATATTGGGTCTGACGTCACAAACGCTTGCGTGCGGGAACCCAATATGTTGGGTCTGAGTCTGAAATTAGTGCTTCGTCACATAAAACGTCGTATAAAACGTATAAATGAGCTGTGAATTATTCAGAATCTATCAAAATGTATTATACAACTACAACACATTGAAAAATAGGTAATTAAGATGTGAAAATATGCGAATTGTTTGTGAAATTGTGATTTAAAGTGAAGGTGTTTGGCGTTTGTTACGATGAAAGTCAGTCCGCTATTTTTGGAAACAGGGAAAAAACGTGCATGTAATAAATATCTACTAACTTGCTCAAATATAAAGGAAAATAAAGAAATAAATCCAAAAAATAGTTTAATATCAATAATTCTAATAAATTTGTGTTAGAATACTTAAAATTACGTCGAAATTTTCGATATTTTAGCAGAAAAACTCTGGTTAACTTGACTTGACCTTAACCTTGCGAAATTCTTCCTGTTAAAACGAAAGTAGGGTGCACATGCTACTGAACTTCAGTCGCATATCGAGAGCTTATATGGTCGGCAAAGTTTTATATTTTGGACATACGGTAGTTATTATTTGTTTATTTGGTGTTTTGTAAGCAGACATACATAATGTGTACATTATATCGTCTAAATGAAAACAATAATGCGCGAGATTGAACCTGGTAAGGCACAGACGTTTTTCTGTGCACGTTGTTTACATACGTAAATCAAGCTTTGCTTTGAAATAAAGGTTAACAAAAAATAATTTGAAGCATCTTGTTAATTAAAAGCATTTGTTTTTTGTAACAATAAATAAACAAATAAATAAGTAAACAATTTTTTTTTTAATCTAAAGACCCATTTTAAAAATGTTGAAAGATAAAAAAGGTTCCATCTAATAAAAGTAATAAATGTGGAGGACCTTGAACATTGTAGAAAATTTTCCAATGAGTTATTGCATTAATAAGTGAGTGAAAAAGAGATATATAGAGAATATATATCTATCAACATATTTTTGTGATCAAGCAAAATTAATTCATGATACACGTATTCGAAATATACACAATATGAATTTTATAATTGACAATCATTGAGTCAATTAAGTGGCCCTAATTACACCTAAAAATTCTGGTTTAAAGCTGCTTGATGTTCCATCTATTTGGGAAAAATTTCAAATATTTTTTTATAACACTACAGTGAGGTTGCCAATAACGAATCGCACCCGTTAACGAATCACTTTCAGATGAAAATTCTGTATTTTTCTTATCAAAGTCCAATACTTTGCTTAACCTACCCTGTCATGCTGAATTATTCTTGCTTTTATCATTTATCATGAAATTATTAAATTCAACTCGTTCAATGTCCTAATTTTTAAAAAACATGAACAAGCTTTTTTGTAACGCTGACCAGAAGCGTACATACAAGCAGACTACTTTCACTTTTCGGTACCGCTCCAATGTGAATCGTACATTCTAGGTAAACAAATTTGGTGCAGATATTTAATAAAATTATGTGTCTAAAAGCCATGAAAGCGTCATACAATTTCTAAATCAGAAATTAATAGTATTCGCTTTAAAGTTGGGGGTATTTAGGTTTCCAATAACGAATCGCTGTTTAAGAAATACTGTATCAGTGTATGAGATGCAGGGATCCTGTCCAAATTATAATTTTTCGTATGCGGTTTTTTGCACACCAGTTACAATTAAAAAAAAAACAACAGAAGATGTCTACCAAAATCGTACAATAAAGATGGTTAAAATACACATAAACAAAATCAGCAGCCAAAATCAGTAAGAAGTGCCAAGCATGTGGATTCGAGAATGTCTCCCGGTGGTATATGTGCATGTAAGCTAATGTGAAGACATCGACGATAGCGAAATAAAAATCGTCATGATTACCAAACAAAATTAAGATTTAGAAATTTTATTTATTTATCCCTTTGCAATTTAAACTTCCCTACTAAATCATTATTTCCTACAATACCCCGATTGCAGTTTTCCTATTCCTTAAAAAAATATTTCCAATAATCAATTTTTATTTCTTGTCATGATCAAGATCAAGCTCATATAATATAAAATGCATATTGCTAACAATACTTTTTCAATTCAACATCAAGCTAAATAAATTATAAACAGAGTATTATGATACCCCCCCCCCTTTTTTCAACATATACTATAGTTAGTAAACATATATGGTTTAAATTACATAATGAGAAAATGATATGCAGACTGCAGCCTTTTGCCTATATAGAATATATGCCACCACTGTCATCACGTAAAAGGGAGAAAGAGCACTATGAAAGCAGCTAGAGGAGAATGAGCTGTCTTATTCATTTCTATAGAGACGATGGACAGTTGAAGTATCTACCCATATAAAGTGAAAGGACAACCTCCAGTATTTATGGTATTTAGTCTACTGTGGATGTTGGAATGGAGAAATTCAGCAAATGAATCCCAACATCATTATTTGTAAAGTTGTCTCTGCTCTTTGGAGGAAATTTAGGTGCTGGGTCTCGACATTTAGAAAATATAATTGTTCCTTTCAGCTTTGGGTATCTCTGAAGCCAGGCTCGTAGGAAGCAATTTCAGTTGGTGGGAGAGGGGTGCGGAGCCATACATTTGCAGTTGAGGACGCACTATCAACCACCAAAATTCCTTAACAATTAATTAATCAAGCATAAAAAGGTCGTCTGACTTTTTTTTTTTTTTTTTTTGAGGGGTACAATCATATATCTAGCGATATATTTTCTATCTAAATAGCGACAAAATTATGGGGAGGGGGTGTGATAGCTCAATGAGTACAATTTTAGAATCAAAAATTAATTCTTTGGCTGTTTTGAGTACATCACATATAAGTTTTTACGTCCTCTTATATCAACTAGTCATTTGTTTTCCCTATGATTTCATTGTTGTTTTTGCATTAATTGTCGGATGCAAACAACTCAAAAAAATTCCTAGCTTTTCTACTTTTTTGGGGAGTGGGTGGGGTTTGAAATATTTTAAGGCATAGTAAAACGTTACGTAAGAAGGTTATTTTTAAATTTACATGGTCCCGAACCAGAATAATCAGCGTGATTCGGTAATGGAGAAAATGATCCGGTAAAGGAGAAAACATCATTCATACAAGTACAGCGATAATTTTTTATTTAATCAGTGGTTATTGGGAAAATATATATGATGTTATAAGTAAAACATAGTACCACCAAACAATGTTGTAAAATGAATTTAACTCAAACTCAGGTACGAAATATCCAGGCAAATTTACTAAGTGATTCGATAACGGCAACCTCACTGTATATGTTAAATTGTAAATTTTTTAGCACAATTAAAAATTAAAAGTAAACTTGATTTTTTCTACATAGTGTCTTCAAATGTAAGCTAGTTATCAGAAAAGATGCATTGGTGCATTTGATCATGTGCATATACATGAAAATGATAAAAAGTGATGAAAAAATTTTGAAGTGCTGATTTCCCCTGAAATGACTGTCATCTGTGTAAACTTTGGTATTTGTTTTATTTCAGTAAGTAATAAAATACCATTTTATTTCCATGATGAGGATTATATAGACTCTCAATAATTTCAAAATGAAAATATGTTCCCGGATCTTTGGTATCTTAGAGTTAGATTTCTTCAAGGCATACTCTAGTTTGCATGGGACCTAATTAGTAAGTGAAAATAACTGGTACTACATGTATCAGAATTTTTTTTAAACCAAGTTTAAGAACATGTATCGGGGAGAAATTTTCTTTTTCTTTAAAATAGACTTTTGCCAGAATAAAGCTTGTGGATTAAATTGCACATTTCCTCCACTTTTTATTTTTATTTTATTAAAAACCAAAAACAGTGAGACTGCCCCAACCTATACATGCACACACAAAATTATAAAATTCACTGGTTAAATAAAAGGTATCTCTACAGTTTAAAATTAAGATGAATTGTCATTTTTGTAGGCATAAGAAGGAGATCAGAGACTTTAGAATGAGTAATTTGTAAATTGTATGGACTTGCATGTACATCTGTTCAATAAATTACAATAAAGACTGGGTAATACAACAAAACTCGTTTAGTACGAACACGAATATTGCGAATTTACAGATATAGTGAAGTTAATTTGGATACCCAGCTAAATAAATTTAATTGATTTCTTATACAGTTATAAAGAATTACAGATATAGTGAAGTAATTTCATAGGTCCCAGTGACTTTGTTATAACTAAGTTTTACTGTAGGAATTGTACTTCTCAAACTCAAAAGTACACACTGTACAAGTTTTTTACCTATTAATATGTAATATGTCCTCTAGTTTACAAATTTATAAGGCCCAAGAAGCTTCTACATTCCATCCCTTCTAGATATGTAACAGTAAATGAATACAGAAAAAGGCTAAGATTTGGTGTGAGAATTTTTTTTTAATGATGGTCAAATTTTTTTTCTTCAAAAATGCAAATTCCTGTACAATTACTTATCAACAAAGATTACATTTTGGTCTCCAAAGATATGTTTATTTTTAAATATGAAAATATGAATAGTTACTAAGAATACAAAGAAATCCCATAGTGGAAATAAAATATAAATTTCATTACTGTATACAGGGTTATTTTCGCCGTTTTGAACTTGTGAACAATTTTGCCCCGTTTTAAATTCACCCAGTCATAGTTCTGTTTAGGAAATTATGAGGTGTAATTTGAATTTGCCCAATCAAGGAGAGGGTGAAAGGGGCAAAAATAAAACAGGGGCGAAAATTTCCCTGTATACAGTATTAGGAATAATATTTTTTGTTGAAGTAAAAATTCAGGCACATTTAAAACTTGTGTAATAGGAAAGGAGAAAATGTATGGTAACTATGGTTGGACAGGAATTGAACTCAAGAACCCTGCTTCACTAGTCAGGTGCTCTACCGAATGAGCTACCCAGGTTGATACCCATAGCACAACCATTACATATCCCTCCTTAAAGTTATCTTTATCCTTGCAGACACAACCGAAAGTCTTATTAGCCCCTGACAGGACTTTCACTTGCAAATCCAGAGGGGTCAATAGCATCAAATATGTAACAAGGAAGGAGAAAATGCACGGCTGGACTGTGAATCTAAGAAGGGGCCCCTGCATCACCGGTCAGATGATCTACTGACTGAGCTTACTTGGCCTATATCCATGACCCATACCATTAGACTTGCATAAACTTAAAAGTATTTCATATTATATTGATTGATATTATGGTACATATCTGTCAACCATCATTAGCTAAAATCAATTGAAAAAAATCAAAACTGTTATTCACCAGTGACCACATTGAACGAAGTCATTTTTGAAAACATTATAAATGACTGTTAAAGGTGCTTAAATTTCTAAAATTTAAAATACTAGTTTTCCTGCTGGCAATTATTGTTGCCAGCCAGGAATAAAACTTCTAAAATAAATGCCACATTTCTTACAGAGTGAGAAGTACTGTGGGAGGAAAGTTTATGAATATGTAAACTTTACAAATAACATGGAGAAATGCATTTTCTTCAATAAAAGCAAAATAAAAAAAGAGATTTGAGAATTACTTGAGTATATTTAGGGTTGTTAGATACCAGTCACTAGAAAATAAGACCTCTGTAACTTAGTGTAAATGTTATTTTATTTTATTTTTTTTTTATTTATTTAACATATTGACTGCTTTAATTTGAAAATGAATACTAGTAACAGCAATTAGTTCATTGTTGTGCCAATTTGCTCCAAGATTTCCCAACCTCGAAAACTGCATATTCTTTGAGGATCATACTTTCTTATATGATTGCCGATATTTCTTTAAATAATCACTGGTTTTATATTTACAGGCTAATTGAATCTTCAATTTATACTCTTTTTAGTTAAAATCTGAAAAAAATTTATTAACTTGAATCAGAATTCCCTTAAACCTACATGAATACATCCCTTACTCAGATAAGTATACAATGACTTTTCACAACATAACGGTATATATATAACATTGATTTTATCATTGAGTTATTGTTTAAATTAATTTTTTTTTTGCATAATATTAAACTAAAATTGAATTTTTAAAGCGATTGATTAATTTTTTTTCATCAAAGTGCAATATTTTCTCTAAAAAATATAGTAAAAATGCTAAAAAGTCATTTTAAAATAATTTTTTTGAAAATTTGGTTTCCATGGCAACATAAGATATTAGATTAAAAAAAAATTGTAAATATTAAAAAACATACCATTTGCTATATATTTGCCAAATTTCAAGTAAATTGGTTGTCAACAATTTTAGATATTTGCATTTTAGTACACCATTGTGATAATTTTGTTGATATTACAAAACAACTCAGTCCTGAGGTTACAGCGCATGTAAAACAAGTCAGCACACAAAGGGTTAACAAGAAAAAAATTATCAACATTGTAATACAAGTGGGTTCTTACATCCAATTTTGGGCAAACATACAGGTCCAGCATAAGTTAAAACACTGATGTTCTGCTGTATTATACCAATATTTTCTAATTGGCTGTCTTCTACTGTATACTGCTACATGTACTATCTATCCCTTACTTTAAGAAATTTTTATCAGTCCATGTGAAAAAATTCCAAACTCCCAATAATCCTTTGTGGTGCATAGCAACATGGTGGCTTACACATGGCAACAACTTAGTTACTTGAAAAAGTTACAAAAAACAATTTAAATGCAATTTCCATGCCACAAAGCTATCGTTTGCACCCTAAATCAACAGGATTTTTTTTTAAAGTCATATACTTTTGTCACTTAATCGGATTGGGTATTCCAAGTGGTGCGGAATTTCAATCCTGATGCATGGGAAGTTATTTCTTTTTACTGTTTTGTTTTTTTTTTTTTTTTTTAAATGAATTGAGGATAGGCAGTACAAGTGTCAGCTGTGCATAGGATTGATAGCTAGTACATATTTGCTCTCATCCCAATGGTCACATTGTAAAACATATTACAAGGGATTTTTTGAAAAGCAATCTAAAGCAGAAATACTTCTTGAATTTTCTGCTTTTGAGTGTTGAACACAGCCCCAAGTAGCTATGACAAGATATAGACCCTTTTCCTATGACATATTTTGCCTAGGTGTTTACTGTTATTCCCCTTAGCCGCCATCTTGTAGGGCAAAGTAGAGAATTTACTTCTTCCAGCAACCAATTTTAAACATGCATGCAAGAAATATATGGGGGAAACATTTACAATCTTAAAATTATGAATTAATAGAGGCTCTAACAATATATGCATAAGAAAAATAGTGTTATCTTTATCTCAGTAACAAGTATAACAAATTGAACTAAGTTGAATAATGAAGGGATCTGGGATTGTTGTCCTACAATATGGCAGCTAAAGGGAATAAATCCTATGCAAAATATTTCATAGGAAAAGGGTCTGTTGATACATTACATGTAGTTTTTTTTGTACTGTGTTTTGTATCGTACCTGTAGTAAAATATAACATTTTACTATGTAATAATGTCGCCTACCTTAAAGTAGTATATAAGGTGACGACTAAGACACAAATCTACATATTGGTAAACAGGTACAGGTACAACAATACTAAAGGAACAGGTAACACACACACGTGGTGATTGGTTTAAGGACTGGACTGGACTGACGATAGGAAGCGTGCTGGCCAGCACGGGTGGGGTGGATGGCTATGAGGTCAGGGTGATAGGTCATAGGGAATATATTTACATACACAATTTCACCACATACCCTTCTTTTAATCTTATTACTAAAGAATAAATTGAGGATGTACCCTAGGGTACAAAACTGAAAAATATCACTAGAATCAAAAGACATTACCAAGATCTTGCCATATTTCAATATGGTCTAAAATTTCAGAACCACAGAAAAAAAGCATTTTATCAAGAATAATTTTTGGGAGTTGTTTTTAGATGGATTTGAATTTGATTTATTAACTAAAAATGCTACTTCAGGTAGGTACTTTACCTCTCTTCAGACATGATAATGTCGTGAAATATGTCATCTTCATTATTATTCATTTTCTTAAAAATCTTCCCTGAACTGAAAAAAAATTGTTGTTGTTGATATTTTGAAGCGTCTATTTAACATAGATTTATTACCATTAAGTTAACTGGAACTTTAACTTATTCGATCTTCATTAAATTAATTAAAAGAATTAATCTTCCTGCCTTTTATTTTTATATCTGTCAACTAAAAAGTAAAATGTATATATTCTTAATTGTAATTAATTTATTTTTTTGATTTCTAATATCAGGCAATTTGAACTAGTGAGAAATAAAGAAAATAAATTAGACCAAGCTTTTTCATGATCGAGATTTATTTCAGTTGTGTCAAGCGGCTAGAAAAATTGATAAAGGAACAAAACATCTCCAGATCTCCAGAGTTTAAGGTTGTCAGATAATTTGCACGACAATGAGCTCACAGGCAGAGGAGAAATCGTCGCATAGTGAGAAAGAACATAAAAGAAAATCTCAAACTGGTGAAGATGTCAACCCAGAACGTGTAAGAATGTCACCGAATTTTCTCAGATTTTTTCGTATTCGATTAAAAAATTGAAAATAACATAAGATACGACAAAAATTATAAATATATTGGGTATTACACCTTGTTTTTTTCATTGCTTAAAAGTTGAAAATCTTGAAATAATCCACAATAAAGTTTTTCATTGGCTCTGACAATAAAAGTTTCTTGTTTAATATTGCTTATTTTCATTTCTTATATTTGTTTTAGTTCTTTATATCCCATTCAGGAAATTTGACCCACTTTATTTGATTTTTGTATTCTTATATGTTACTCAAATAGAAAAATTGTGCGTTGTATCCAAAGAGAGTTTCTAACTTCAACCTCAAGTTAAAACTTAAAGTATTCCATATAGCTACATTTAAAATGAAAAAGAGTTCTGACCTACTTTAGTGTTACTGTTGGAATATATTACTGAGCTTCAATAGTCTTGGCTACTTCGGGTACAAGACTGATAATCTGTATCATCAGACTGTTCAAAAGGCACTGTCCCTTTGTACACCAAGTAGTTGGGCCAGCAAATGTTAGTTAGAATAATCTAACTGTGTCTCGGTACAAGCCCTCACCACAGTTAGAATACGTCCCATATACTTGCAATGTAGCACAATAGGCATTGTCCCTCAAAATATAGATTTATATAGAATATAAAATGATTTGCACTGGAAATAACTATCCAAATAATCAAAACAAACCTTTTTGAGATTGCTTATGCATTTTTTTCTTTAAAAATAATGCATATATGTGATACGAAAATCCAATTATATTGTTTTATCATATTATATGTGATATTTATATATTCCCATGTTTACATTTGGAACTCTCTAGATTGTTGCCTAGTAAATGCACTATGCGAGTTATCGCCCGTGTTATCTTTTGCTACATTACGAATACATATTTATATATTATAGTTCTAAAAATGTATCCCATTTTTAAACCGGGTCCGTAGGACAATATCATTTTAACGATAGAACATTCTATCTAAGCAAATGTAAGTTTCCCTCCTGTACACTGTCTTGGTTGCTCAGGGTACAAGACCGAGTAAGCTGGTTTTTCAGAATTACATTTTTCCAAATGGCTCAATAGGCATTGTCCCATCAAAATATAGCATTTATATAATGGTACCAAAGTAATTTTATGATTACTTGCTTGCTATTATCTGCTGATTTCTACTTTAGTCTGTTCTTTGAAGTGTGAAACAGTTTTTTTCTTTATATTGTTTTATTATATGTGATATATGTGATATCTGAAATAGTTTGGTTTTTCCTTTATATTGTTTTATTATATTGTATGTGATAGTCTACATATATATACATGTATATTCCATTAAGAACTATACCAATAGTTTAATTTCAAGTGTTAGAACTTTTGCAAGTGAAGATCAGGCCAATATTGCAACTAAAGTAACCATCACCTGATAATGCTGTTATAACCTTGGTTATATTATATTTTTAATTGTATTATATTATCAATAATATATTTATATATAATAGTTCTAAAAATGTACCCCAAATTTGCTAAAAGAATGCTGACTTTTGCAACATTTATGATTATCTAAAATTTTTTTTTTTTACACACAGTGCTAATGTTGAGCAATATCATCTTTATATATGTATCCCCCCTTTACATGAAATAGTAGTCAAATATTAAGATATCTAGAGAAATCCCATAATGTTTATTCCTTCTCTACCAAAAAGAATAATTGATGTAAAGGTTTAAAAGACAACACAATTATCCAATGATATTTATAAGTAAATTTTCATTAAATTCATTAGATATATGGTGTGAAGAAGCAAAAATTAAGCAAAAGTAGGAATTTTAAATTGGAGCTCTATCATTGCTTGACTGTAAAAAGGGAAATAATTGTTTGAATGTCAAATACAGTTGAACTTCTGTATCTTAAACTGCGATATCTCGAATACCATGGATATGTTGAAGTGATTTGGAAGTCCCAATCACATATTCTTTAAGTATTTAACCTTAGATATCTCGAATCCCTGGTTATCTTGAAGTTTTTTCTTAGTCCCATCAGGTTCGAGGTAACGAAGTTTGACTGTATATATCTAACAAAATAAAATGTTGCAGGTTCATTCAGCAAACAATTGGGAAAGTGTGGATCTTGGAGGTGATGAAAGGAAAAAGAAATTTTTACGTTTGATGGGTGCATCTAAAGTAAGAATACTCACTGTTATCCAAAAACATGCAACTAACATATATTGTTTATAAGCTGCAAAACTTTAGCGTTATGGTTTTATATACTTGTCTTTGACCATAATGCTACAGATCTTGTAATGCAAAAAATATGCAATTTACGGTGCAAGATTTTTTACATACTGATGGAAAGAATTTCTCCACTTCCTAGCATTGTCCAATCAACTACCTTTCACCCCCTAATTCTAGACACTTATTTTAACCAATCTGCATATTTTATCCATTTGAATTGTCAGTTGGATTGCAGAAAATTCAAATCAAGCGAGTTTATCACCTTAGAGATGACTATAAAGGGTTGGGAGGTGGATTAAGTATACAAATTGGTTAAAGAATGTGTCTAGAATTACATGTAGGGAGTGAAAGGTAGTTTGGCCAATGCTTGAAAGTAGAGAAATTCTCCTGAACAGTGCGCAAAATATCTTGCGCCATAAATTGTACATTTTTTGCATTACGGGATCTGTAGTGTTATGGTCAAAAACAAATATATAAAAACCATAATGCTACTGTTCTGCAGCTAATTTTTTATCTGCATTTTTGCTCACTTTTTTGTATAAAAATTAAAATTATAAATTATTAAGGAAAAAATATTTTGTTGAAAGTATTATTTTGATGGAAATTACTCTCCAAACATTTTTTGTTCATTTATTTACTTACAATACATGTAATATTGATCAATACATCTTTTATTTCTTGCAGAAAGATCACCATGGCAAAATAATCATTGGAGACCATGAAGCTGTCCATACCAGATCAAGTAAGAGCAAGAAGTTTACATTATACATGTACTGATTTATTGTTTATATGGGCTGTAAATTTGTATACAGTTATGGAATCCATGGTTTGATATCTGCCTAGACTTTCCATGTAGTCAAAATCACCTTTGTGGATAGAGTAATCTTCATTTCTGAAAAAATGTTTCAAGTACAATGAGTCGGTTTTTCAACAAATTGGGTATAGATGCTTCTAGAATTATGATTTATGCATTTTATTCTGTATAAGTTTTTTGCAAGGATTTAATTTTGGCATTATAAGCAAGACTCGTATAAAATCACTTAAATTGAATATCACTAAAAATTATTTGCCTTTTATTTGTAGTAGCTTTTTTACTGAGCATTTTAAAATCGCTAAAATTACTTTTTGCTAAAAATAAAATACAGTAAGGAGAAATTGCTAAAACTGCGTCTCGCTAAAATTTCCACTTAATGGTATTTTGTGCTCATTTTTAGAGATTTTCTATGAATTGAATTCAGTCACATTTTTTTTTATAAATGGTTCATATTTAAAAAAATGATTTAAAAGATTTTTTTGATTGAAAATTTTAATGACCAGTTTGGGTATGTAAGACTTGGCTTGGAGGCCTTAAAACTTGGACAAGCTCACTTTTGGTCTTTATCTCACTTTTTCCAAAGTAATAAGTAGTAGAAAAGTGTGAGACTTTTGAGTTTTTGGCCCTGGGCCCTGAATAAAGGATGCTATATGATAAAGAATGCCGCTATGCATAATAATTGTGATTAAAACTCCTTGGTTGTAATTTCAGAGAATGAAAATGTACATATTACTGAAGACTTAGAAGAACAGTTTAATCAGGGACTAGAGCATAAGCTAGCCAGTGGGTTCAAAGGTCATTTAGGGCTGGGGTTTCACAAGGAGGAGGAGAAGAAAGAGGGAGAAGAAAGCAAGGAAGGCGAAGAGAGTGGAGTCACAGCAAAGGAAGATAACTCCGGGGAGGACAGTGTTCCAGACACAAAGAGTGCAGAGGAAAGTGAAAATTCTGAAGAATCACCACAAAAACACAAACTAGAGAATAATGAGAAAAAAGACGAAAGTGTGAAAAAGAAAATGAAGATGAATTTTGTTAAAGCGAGTTCATGAAACTTTTTGAAAAAAATTGTTTTAGAAAATGAAAAAGCATAAATAGAAACAGTTAACTGTGACCTCAGATTTGTTCGACGGTCAAGTCCCGTGATATGTGTTTTGTTATTGACAATGAATGACATGGTTTTATTCTTAGATAATGTTGAAGGACTTGTGCACTATGATATAACTACAGCAGTATGTTTTTGCGCTGAAGTATTATTCAAACCATGTCATACAAACAAAATGTGTATCATTAAATGCCATAATTTGTTACATTGAATCATAAATTGCTTAGCAATGTCATTTTGCAATTAAAAAATTCATCTCTGGTTTGTTGTCAGTACATGTACAGGTATTTTTTGTGGTACAATGTACTTTATTTAACAGAAAAAACAATTTAAATAATTCTTTTCAACGGCATAATTTTAAGTATAAAAATAAAATGCAGGTATAAGGTACATGTACTGGGTGAACTTAACTAAGAAATGCAGACAAAAATTTTTCATTTTTAAATGTACATAAAATATTGTCATTCTATCCTTCCAATTGATCCCGAGAAAATGGAATTTTAGCTCTAGTGGTCACTTTTGCGATGGGAAAGTGTCTGTGGTCTGTCTGTAAACAATTTTAAATGCTACTTCTACAGTTTTGGTCTGATTTCAATATAACTATATATATATTCAATATAAAAAATGTCAAATTTACTGTATATAGAAAGAGTACTCTTTTTATATATAGTATATTTGACATTTTTTAAACGTGCTAATTTCAGCGAGTTTTTATTTTTATTTTGATGAGGGTATTCAGACATACCTAGAAAAACACACAATACACAAAATACACCATCCTGAAACCAAGCGCCTATGATTACATATACCCTTTTTTGACCTAAATTGTAACGTGCCTGTTGAAAGTGGGGAGTCTACACTTACGTCCACGTTTTCAATGTCTATTTCATGTCTAACTGCAAAAAAAGCCTCCTCTAGCCCCCCCCCCCCCCCCCCCCCCCCCCCCGGGTTCCTTCGCTTATGGACAATGATGAAATATCAATGTATACAACCTGTTGGGTATTGTACTACATGTATATGTCCTTTAAACTTTCAATATTAAGAAAATATGAATCGGAAATTCCAAGTGAAACATTACTTGACCATATTTGATTCTAAAAGAGGGAGAGGTGGCAGCAAAATTTTAGATTATTTATTGTCTCGGCCTCTATCACCGTGCCCAAGCTCTGGTAAAACTCCAAAACTCATTCACGCTTTGGACGGGAAAAAGTGTTATGCTTATGCCATCAGTCAATGTTAGATTTTCATTTTTCTTTCAATTGAAGACATACTAATATTATTTAATATTTATGCATTTGCTTTTTTTCTGCTCAACCAGTTTTATTTTTAAATTTATTTCTAACTTTTAATTTGAAAAAAGAAATAATTTTTTATTCCACTTAGGCTAGTACACGACTACTTGACTCTGATGATCTCTACTTGAAACAAGATGTGTTTGTGGAACACTATGGGTCCTGTGACAACAAAGTTCCAAAAAGTATTTGTAGTATATAGGCCACAGTCAAGGTCACAATGTCATTGACCTTGGTGTCAATTGAAAGAGCGTAATTAGTGGAATATGCATACCAAATATAAAGACTCTATCTCTCATGGTTCAAAAGATATGGCAAAAGTTCGAAAAAGGTATTTTTAGTGCTATTTTTAGCATATAGGTCACAGTCAAGGTCACAAGGTCATTGATCTTGGTGTCATTTGAAAGAACGTAATTAGTGGTGTATGCATACCAAATATGAAGTCTCTACCACTCATGGTTCAAAAGTTATGGCGTTAAAATTGACAAGAGACTGGTATTGCCTGTCTTTACCGTACGCAGGAAAATATCGGATATCAGACAGGCAGGCCAGTCGAATTGTTTTCCTGGCATGTAAAATCGTAAAAAAGCCAGGAAAACGTCAGATTTTTCGGACTAAGTTGACAACAGACAGACAAACAGACAATCAGATAAACAGACGGAACAAAAACAACATACGCCTCGGATCTATAGATTCGGACGCATAAAAAGGTGAAAGTAATGCGGCCGGCCGTGATAATGACCGAGCAATTATAACTTTTTAATTCCACTGTGTATATATCCATTTGTAATTAAAAAGATATCCTTGGTTAATAAATCCTGCTATAATTCTTGTAATGCTAAATCCAATAAAAAGTCAGTAAACAGTACACTAATTTATTTACAAATATACAATGAGGAGGCACAATACAAACGATAGATGTTACATTTATGCTAGCATATGTACTGTCTAAATCCTAGTAAAGCACTCTGCCACTTCTATAAATGTCACACTTATTATATACAAATCTTAGCTCCAATAGATGATTATCTAAAACATTAGCTTTATCCTACTAATTAACTAACTCCAACTCTACATATATCTTTATCATATCCTTATCAAACTGTCATAACCTAGCTTGACCTTAACATTTTATTAGTCAACATACAACATATCATTATATACAATGTCTACAAAGTCCATTTATCACACGTATAATATATACATATATATATATATATATATATATATATATATATATATATATATATATATATATATATATATATATATATATATATATATATATATATATATATATATATATATATATATATATATATATATATATACACATAAATAAATGTTTTACAACTGCATGTAGAGAGGATGTACGTATAGTACATAACTTATTAACTCAATACACTGCTCCCGATTCTACGAACAATAGCTCCCATTGCTCCACTCAATAAAGACTTACTATTCTTGACCACACTAGACACTGCTCTACTCTTAATTACCCCCAACACAGCTTGACTAGTCTGGGCAATGCATCCAAATCAATAAGATTATTTTTTCCTTTCTTTCAAAATATTTACCAAAAATTATAATTTGTTTTTTAAATTCAAATTACATGCATAGTTAAGATAAAATAATAAAAAAAATATTATAAAAATTGAAATGTTGAAACAAATTGCTATAATGTGAGGTACAAAAAAAAATAAAGGTATTTAAAGGAATCTATTAATATTAGAGACATATATAGACTGTATACGCATACACCAAATATAAATGGATCGATTTAATGCCCCATAGTCGAGACACTAATAACGCCGAGGTGTATCGATTGTTAATAATGTACATTTCACAATACCTACGGTCTCATTTCTCAAGGTACATTAGATATTGCGAAATGTACATCGAGGGGTATATAAAGAACTTCAGGCGGGCAATGCGATTATCAGAAATGTGAACAATTTACCTTTCTCTTCGGAGGATAAAAAACTAAGGCCCTGAAGGGGCGAAGAAAGTGTTGAACGCCGTGCAGAGGAGAAAAAAAATAATATGGTAAGTTTAATAAAAAGTAATTAAAAATACAAAGAAGTTACTAAAGGTTTTCTTTCTTTTTTTTTAATGCTAAAAATTAAATGCTTTATTAACGGAACTATATAAATTACCGATGGATAGCAAAATTAACATAAAACTTAAATTAAAAAGAAACACCCTTTCACTATTTAAAAATATCAGTAAAGTATACGAAGCGCTTTAGCAATTTTATTAAAGATTTCTTCAAATAAAATTAAGATATCGCAGTTATTGAAATATTGCATGCGTAAATCAAATCAAGTTGCAATTGTAAAATGCTGATGACCAAATAATTATAGCTTTTTTCCAAATTAGTAAAACGTAGGAGTATACAATTGCTACTAATTTATAAGTGTTTTAACAAGTGATATGAGTTTGAAAATTAAATTTTCAATGGTTGAATTGGTCTGCTCCTCTTATTCTATGAGAAAGAAAATGAAAAGCATGATACAGGAAATGATACAGGAAAAAAAATCATTACAATTTTAAAAAAATTGAACTCGATTCTTGGATGTACGATTAGAAAAAAACAACTTCTAAATTCAGTTTTGAACTGGAACAAAAAATGTTTTGAACGAAAGAAAAAAATATCATTAAATGCTAATAAAGTTTCATCGATTGTAGTAAAAGGAAGTGATTGAGAATTTAGGAATAATACTTGTAATTGGTTTTGTATATACATGATTTACGATACAGATGGGCAAAATAAACAGATTTTTTTTCATGTATAATACTGTAAATCAACAAGTCAGTTCGTAAGATATAATTTCATCAAAAAAAAAAAAAAAAAAAAAAAACAACTTCTTTTTACGTAGTGACTCCGATAGAGTATTAAAAAATTACAATTATAATTGACAAGAACAACCTTTTTCAGGTGAAATTTTCAGAAGAACAATTGCGGACGGTGATGTCCCGACCCAGGCAGATCCGAAATATCTCGGTCATCGCCCACGTGGATCATGGAAAGACCACCTTAACGGACTCACTTTTGGCAAGAGCTGGAGTCATATCAGCTGACCAGGCGGGGGATAAGTGTGCCATGGACACACGAAAGGACGAACAACTTAAAGGAATCACGATTAAGTCAACGTAAGCTGTATACCGCAAACAAGAAATGATGACAATTTCACAGATATAACATTAATTTTTGAGTATCAAATACTAGTATGATGCATAACTGATATTATCTAAAAAAAATTTCAGAGCAATATCCCTATTTTATGAGGTTGAAACAAGAATGCTACCTAAATCGCATGTCCAACAGGAAGAGGGTGGAATCCGCGAATACCTCGTTAATTTGATTGATTCCCCTGGTCACGTGGATTTCTCCTCTGAGGTTACGGCAGCGTTGAGAGTGACAGACGGAGCGCTGGTTGTAGTGGACAGCATAAGTGGTAAGCGCAGAATTGTTTCGATATGGACCATGTAAATCCAACTTTTTTGTCCGATACCTTACTCCTGATAGCGGTAAATTGCAGTTCAACCATAACAAAAAAGAAAATTTTATAAATATTTCGCATAAATCTATTTCAGGCGTATGCGTACAGACGGAGACCGTTTTACGTCAGGCATTGGCTGAGAGAATCAAGCCTATATTGATGATTAACAAACTGGACAGATGTATTTTTGAGACACAGTTGGAACCTGAAGAACTCTACTGCAAATTACGTGGAAGCATCGAACGAGTGAACGCAATTCTGGCAACATACGGCGAGAACGATAGCTGTTTGAGTGACACAACAGTAAGTTCACCCAAGTCCATCATTTCAAGATCTACATTAATTAAATGTTGAATAATATATTGGATGAACTCTAAACTTTAATTTTCACTGTTTCTCTTTTTTGTTTGCAGTTGGACCCATCCTTAGGAAATGTTGCTTTCGGATCTGGATTGCACCGTTGGGGCTTCACTCTTCGAAAATTTGCAAAAATGTACGCTGCAAGATTGGGTACTGATGAGGACAAGTTCATGAGGAAGCTTTGGGGAGACCATTTTTATAATCCGGAAACGAGAAAATGGAAGAGGACAGAAGGCGATGGTTATGTTCGAGGTTTCAACAAGTTTGTTCTGGAACCATTATATAAGGTATGAATATAGGTCCATGTATTGGATATATTTAACGGAACATAAAGTTAACTAACGATAATTGAACGGATCAGACATTTTCCTTTTCTTTCACAGATGCTAAAAGCAACCAAGTCAATGGAAAAAGACGAAATTTTCAAGCTTACAGAAAAACTAGATTTGCAACTCTCCAGTGAAGAGAAAGCTTTAGAAGGAAAGGAGTTTATGAGGAACGTGATGATGAAATGGCTGCCTGTCGGCGATGCGATGTTGGAGATGATAATTGTACACCTACCATCGCCAGATGTGGCCCAGAAGTACCGTACAGAGATCCTGTATGAAGGACCAAATGACGACGAAGCGGCGATAGGTGCGTTTTTATTAGTGCTTATACAAATGCAAATGCAAGTCATTGAAAGAGTTGGGTGTGGGATTTTATATTTCTCTTTTATTTTTGATATAATATACCCGGTAGTTGGGTAAGTTTACCTCCAAACGCACATCTTTTATATTCTGTTTTTTTAAATCTAAAGCAATGAAAGAGTGTAACCCTGACGGCCCTTTGATGGTCTACATTTCCAAAATGGTACCATCCACTGACAAAGGACGCTTTTTCGCTTTTGGACGCGTATTTTCTGGAACCATATCGTCTGGAATGAAAGTGCGGGTCATGGGTCCTCAGTACGAACCCGGAAAGTCACATGATCTGTTCTATAAGACTAACCCCCGGGCTGTCATCATGATGGGGAATAAGATAACCTCAGTGGGAGATGTGCCGTGTGGAAATGTTGTGGGTCTTGGCGGGATAGACAAGTTCTTGGTCAAGTCTGGCACAATAACAACGTATGAGAAAGCCCACAACATGAAGGTATGGGATAGATGTAGAATAGTAAGCACAAAATTGGTTTGAATACAGAAAAACCTTTTGCGTTTTTCCTTTTGGTTGAATGACAAAGAATTTCTTGTAAAAACAGGTGATGAAATTTTCCGTTAGTCCAGTGGTGAGAGTAGCCGTGGATGTCGTCAACCCTTCCGATTTACCGAAGCTTGTTGAAGGTCTACAGCGATTGGCCAAGTCTGATCCTATGGTGCAGGTAAGGCATCTATATTTCCCACTGCAATCTGAAGTAATGGCTGTTGAGTTACACCATTATGATATTGTTTTGTTTCTGTTGATTGCAGTGTTCTTTTGAGGCTGGTCAGCACATCGTGGCAGGAGCAGGAGAGCTCCATCTAGAAATATGTCTGAAGGACCTGGAAGAAGAGCACGCCTGTGTCCCTCTCAAGAAACATGATCCTATTGTCACCTACAAAGAAACAGTTTCACAAAAGTCCAGTCAAGTCTGTTTGTCAAAGTCTGGAAATAAACATTGCCGCGTTTTTATGACGGCGGAGCCCATGCCAGAGGGACTGGCAGAGGAATTTGATTCTGTAAGTTAAACATGACTTCTTTTTTGAAACAATGTCGGTGTGAAGTATAGATTGATTATGCTTGTACAATTAAAATCTTGAGATAAGAGATAAATATCAACTTTAAGTCGTTCGTCAAATAATTTTTACCTTTAATTTATTTCTATATCATCAACAATTTCAGGGAAAAATTAACAATATGAGAGATGTGAAGGAACGTGGAAGGTACCTGGTGGAAAAATTCGGAATGGATTCACATCAAACAAAGAAGATCTGGTGTTTTGGTCCTGCTTCTTCTGGTCCCAATATGCTTACTGACGTGACTAAGTCTTGCCAGTACTTAAATGAGGTCAAGGACACGATCGTAGCCGGGTTCCAATGGGCAACGGAAGAAGTATGTTAAAAAATGGTACACTAAATGGCGACAAACTGAAATAATACATGTATTAGTCTTTGCAAATATTTCTAATATGAATTTCATTTTCAGGGTGTTCTTTGCGAAGAATCTATGCGAGGGGTTAAGTTTAATTTGGAAGATCTCAGTGCGCATTCTGACCCCGCCCACCGTAAGGGAGCACAAATGATTCCAGCGACAAGGCGATGTATGTTTGCTTCTTTTCTGACAGCCCAGCCAAGAATTCTAGAACCTGTTTACCTGGTGGATATTGAGGTTCCACCGACAGTAATGGGAGGAGTTTTCAATGTGCTATCAAAACGACGCGGTGAAATGATCGAAGAGCAGCAGAAGATTGGATCTCCTATGTACAGTTTAAAAGCCCATCTTCCTGTCAACGAATCTTTTGGTAAGCTCATTTGTTTATCTTGATACAGTTTGGAATTACTAGTGACACAAACCTCTATTAATACTTCAGTAGCATACCACAATCCTCGCGGTTAAAGACTGTCGTCATGTTAAATTTTTCAGTACAGTACTTTATTTTGAAGGTGCATGAATAATTTTTTTTTCGCAGGTTTCGCCGAGGAATTGAGAGGGCAAACAGGTGGACAGGCTTTTCCCCAGTGCGTGTTTGATCATTGGCAACTTCTATCAGGCGACCCTCTTGAGCAGACGTCACGAGCCGGAACTGTCGTAGCGGAAATCAGACAGCGGAAAGGTCTTAATCCCATCATACCCAAACTGGACAACTTCCTGGATAAACTTTAAAGAACATATTAACGAAGTTGAAGTTTGTAATTTGTACGAAGTCCAAAATGAACTATCATATTTAATAACATTAAACTGTTACTGTGAAAATAAAGAAAGGAAAATTAAAAGACAACAATGATGGGAATCGCAAATGGTAGTTATTTCTCTTTATTCAGATGGGAAAAAAAGAAAGTGGGTTGAAACACTACTCTTTAAAATTTACGAATATCATAAGTACATCACATAACCGGCATATGCATGGTCTTTACATCCTAGTTTTACATGGATAATAAATTACTTGTAAACAATATTATCTTAAGGACAGATGATACAAACAAACTTTCGTCAGAGAATTTGAAAATAACACCTTGGGTCATGTTTAAATGAATAAAATGAATTTTTTCACCGCATAGTTTTTAATTTTTTATTCAAATTTGCACAAAAATGGAATTTAAAGTGAAAAATATTTGTATAGATAAATCGGGATGGTTTCAGAAAGGCAGACTTTTGAACATCACAGAAGGTTTACAATTTCTTTATATTCTAAAACATTTGCGTCATTTGCAATGAAATTGGGCCAAAAAATATATACCAATCCAGGCATCCTTTTTTTGTTTGTATCATCTGTCCTTAACGAACAAAAACAAAACAGGTACCAAATCGAACAAATCATACAATTACTTCAAATATATAGAAAAAGGACCATACTTTCGTAAAATTTCGTACATTCACAGCTAGATTTTGCATGTGAAATGAACATAATTCACAAAATTTCACAGTGTATTTAAAAAAAGTAATTCAAAAGCTGATACATAGCCAATTAAAATTATATCTCAAACAAATGCTTGCAACTTTGAAATCAAAATAAAACCTCTTGTTTAAGAGCTTTAAAATCATGTAATGTTTTTGAGAGAAAAAAATATATTACAATAAAGTAACTCTTATTAATTTCATTTCATGACGTTCTATGTAAACATAGTGCAACATTTTCATTTTATTTTTAAATTTCCACTATATAAAGACCGTATATTTACATTTAGTGTAATTTTCTTTATCAAATCCATTAGAAATCCACGACGTTCAAATTTCTATAACACACGCAAAACCTTGTCACAGCGCGGTAGAATACACAGTAGGAACTACATACATTTTCAATATTTAGGAACACCAAAATGTATATTGCTTTGACTCAATTTCATTTAAACAAACTAGCCTTTTAAAAGTAACATAAAATTCAACAAATGTGCATTAAAATTTAATTTGTCATTTTTTTTTCCTCGCAATGTTTATTTGCGTCATTTAACTTTGCAACGTCACAAACGGCTATTACGTTTATTAAGCGCACCAATACCGAAGGGCGCTAAATTCACATTAAACATGAACAAAATAAACAATTATGACAAAGGAAAATTAGAAAATGTAAATATAAGCATTGAATTCATATTTTGGGATGTCTTCAATCCTATAACACACCTGGCCTTGTCGACAAATTATCATATCGCACTAACGCGAGGTATTCAATTTGTCGGCACGGCCAGGTGTGTTATAGGACCGAAGACATCCCAAAATATGAATTCTATGCTTAATTATTATTAATGTAGTTCTGTCTAGATATAAAAGGCGGATTGAAAAGTTAACGCATAATCAAATTAAAAAAGATATATGAGTAGAAATAGTATCAAATTGATGCTACAATTTCTCCGGATCTTTTCAAAGTGAAATGGATGTTACTCCAAAAGTCTTGTTTCTCTGGGTCATCTTTTGGATACTCAATGTAAGATTTTTTATACATCAATTCACGAAGATGTAGAGGTATTTCGGGATGAGGTAAAACTTTGTAGAGTACCACAAACAACATCTCCTCTCCTGCTCTCTCGTAAAAACTTTCCATTTGCGCCATTCTTAGTTCAAACATACACCAATAAGATTTTACAAAGTCTGGCGAGAGCACAAAAACAGTGTATCGACTTTGATTTATCGCTGTTGATATATTTTCTGCTATGTCATATCCGGGTACAAAGTCCCGGAAGTGAAGACATAGTTTTAGGTTCCGGTCAGTTTCTAACTTTGGTAACATCTTCTTAATCACAAAATCTCTGTCCTCGTCAGCATGGGAAATAAATGCATCATATTTGTACATCGAATGGTTTTTGAGTGATTTGTACCCATGAAATTTACTTTTGGTCGCGTAATAAAAATATCTTATCTTCCACCGGTATCGGTAGGCGATTCGTGAAATTAGGAGAACAAGGACCACAGTTATCAACACCGCAATCCCTGCTGCCAGCTCAGAGTACGGTCCACACCGAATATCCAACTCAATCAAGATTTTTCTGTCTTTGAAGGAGAAAATTCTTCTGTCCTCCGTGGAGCAGTTTAATGTTTCAAATGATATGAAGTTATTACTTTTCTTTTGTTGTTGAAACATCCACTTTATAGACGCTTTTGTATCACAGTTACAAAGTAAAGGATTGTTACGTAGATCTAATGTTAATGGATAATTCCTCCCATTTGTTATTCCATCAAATGAACGTCTTGTTGTTTCTGACAAAGATGTTAATCGATTATTTGTTAAGTTCAAAACTTTTAAGCCTTTCATATGGTTGAGTTTGAATAGAAGATTATCTATTAAATTAAAACTAAGGTCAAGTTTCGAAATCATTGAGAGTGATTGAAATACGTTTTTCGAAAGCGACACAACTTCATTACCACTTAAGTCCAAATGTTTCAAATTTGTTAGATTTTTCAAAATTCTACCTTCAATATCTCTTGCTAAAGAGTTGCTAAGTTTGTTTTTTGCCAGATACAATGTTTCAATAGAATTCAAGAAATCGAAAAAATTATTTGAAATATTTTTGCAATTATTTTTGGATAAGTCTAAAATCTTCAGTTTCGTTAATCCAATGATCGGGCCTGTTAAATAAGATAGTTGATTTGCCTGCAGTGAAAGACTTCGTAGGCTATTTTCTAAAAATATTACTTTTGGAACGTCATATCCCAATGTACTATGGACCAAATACATTATTTTTAGTTTTGGTGGAAGTCGTAAAATTAATGGAAACTGTGAATTTTCTCTGCGTCTTTTCAGAGAAATTTGAACAAAACCAACACTTCGTTTAGTAATTGTGTGGTGTTTTACTGAATGAGACAAATCATCGTTGCATTTTAAATCTGTTATGAAATTCCCGCCAATCAAGTCATGTGACGAGAATGCCTGACTCACATTTAACCAAAGAAGGTTTCTCATTGCACTGAGCTGGAAGATATATATGCCTTGTGTTAGACGATTGTCAGCTATGGATAAGATTTTCAGTCGCCGGAATATCCATGTAACATTGGCCTCAAACAGCTCGATTTTATTGCTATCCAAGTATAGCTCTGTGAGGGATGTATTTTGAATATACCATACGTCATCCCACGTGACTTTTGTTCCCATTCCAAAAATGCAGTGTATCTGTTTAATTTTCAATATATTTATGGATGTAAATTGTAAATCAAAAGTAAGATTCCTAAGATTTCTAAAAGTGAATTCCTTATTATATGACATATCTAGTTCTTTTAAATCCGATAATCCAGAAAATACGTTTGAATGCGATGATTTTATTCCACAGTGTGTCATAAATAGTGTCCTTAAATGCTTCAGATTTGTGAAATAGTCTGTATCAATATTCTCGACTTGACAATGTCCGCCATTATTTCCCGAAATATCCAGATAGTAGAGTTTCCTTAGCTGGGAAAATTTTCGACCGAATCTGCCATTAGGAAGTCCATTAATAGACAGTTGACGTAACTCAGTTAGTAGTGAGAGACTTTCAGGATATGTGTCATTGTTTGGGTCTGGTGGGTCCTTGACCTTCATACTAAGGACTTCCAGATTGGTTAAAGATTCAAACACCAAAGGAGGAAAAGTTTCATCGTTTAATTTGAATTTGTTATTCGAAATATTTAGCGTCCTGAGCATCTTTAAATTATCAAAGGGGTTATTTTGAAAGCTCGTTATATCATTGTAAGACAAATCTAAATAAGTTAGCGATTGCAGGTACGATAGGTTTGGACAGTTTGTTATTTTGTTGTGGCTTGCGTCTATTTGAGTCACTTTTTGTGAAAATTTGGGAAAAAATATCAATCCTTTTCCTGAACAATCTGCTTTTAGGCCATCCTGAAGATCTATGCAATGGCATTTTATATTTGGGTCCTCGGTGCAAAAAGTTGAGCGTGTTCCTCTCAAAATGACAAAATATGCACAAATCACTAACATCTTCACCTTTTCCCACATTTTCTGACCTTCAAAAGAAAAAAATAGTGTATCAGTTTAGTTGAGGTATGAACAAAAGAAAAACAAGTTCAAATGCTGAAAAAGTGGGAAACTTAATTTGTGTTGCATGTTATTACTTAAAAACAAAATACAGAATATGAATATGAATAGTTCATAAATAGTTGAACACATTTCCTTCTTGAATCAAACAAAAAAAACCTTTGTTGAAATATGTTTGAGGTGGGAGATGTCTATATGATTATTTTTACATATCAATTTAATCGAATCAGGATAGTGTGTGAAGAATATGCTATAAATCATGAAAGCTAAAAAAAAAAAAAAATCTTAAATCTCAAAATTTTGCAAAATCAATAGCAGTAAAACTAAGTACATGTATATGTCTTTACGATTTACACAAATTTCCTTACGATAGATAAATTAGAGATAGGCATTTTGAAATCATAGCCATTTACTGTTAATTCCCATTTTTTTCTCGAGTACTAAACTCTTCCATCTCTACCCAAAATCTGTAGAAATTCCCATGGATACCAATTGCACCCGTTATTAGCAGAGCTTTTTTGTATTCATATGAAGCAGAATTGGTGTAAATTCTTATGCGCGAAAAGAAGAAAACACTTGCTGTTGCCTCCAACTCGACATTTAGATATATCGACGACGTATTGTCAATTAACAATGATAAATTTAATTCTTATGTACTGTGCGATATACGCATTATACGATATATCCTGGTGAGCTTGAGATAAAATATATTACAGAGTCTGACTCATCTATTTCATATTTGTAATTTTACTAGTACTTGAAAAATACGTTAATGGTAATCTAACAACCAAATTCTATGATAAACGTGATGACTTTAACTTTGACAACTTCCCTTACTTATGCAGCAATATACCTTCATCAACCTGCATACGGAGTTTATATATCTCAATTATTTCGATACGCAAGAGCATGCTCTACGTATGAACAATTTCTAAAACGAGGTAAATTATTGACAAACACGTTGATGAAACAATAATATCAGCAGTCTCATTTTAATTCATCATTTCGTAGGTTCTATGATCGATACAATGACCTTGTCATCAAATACTAAATACAGAATAATTAATTTCGCCCGTGTTATTTTCGCTCTTTCACTCTTTCAAACAATTCTGTCCCGTTTTAGATTAAGGATATTGGCTACAGAAGTTCTTAAAATTTTAAAGAATGAAAGTCCTGCTTATTTATCTGATTTATTTACTCAAGAAACCCCATATCATTTTAGGAAAACTACTACAGTACAGGTACCTAGGGTAAAAACTACAAAACATGGATTACACTCTTTTAGATATGCAGGAGCCAAACTATGGAATGAACTCCCTGAAACAATTAGAAATGCATCCACAATCAATTAGTTCGAAAGTTTAATTAACAATTGGAATGGAGATTCCTGTAAGTGCGGCTCCTGAAGATCTTAATCTTCGTATCTTAATCTTCAGTTTTTTTGCTCAATTTCTTTTTAGTTTCCTTTTTATTTATTTTGGTATTTTCCTCTGTTTTAAGCTCCTTTTGCTTGTTTGCTTTAATAGTGAGTAAACTTAGTTACCATAAATTTATAGTATTACACATATACTTTTAACTCAACAAATGTGCTATATTTTTATCAAAATACATAAATCATAGACTATTCATTTAGAACATAAGACTAGTGCTATTTTGACATTCATTTATATTTATTTCCTGTGTTTTGTCTTATTTATATGCATGATATATGTGCTTTTCTGTGTTGTTTTGTGGGTGTATGTATAAATATGTCTTTTTTGATGCATGACAATGTAATCCTAACTGTGTTATATGCATTTATGTATCCATGCCTATGTAGTACTAATGTAATATGTCGGTCAAAAGCTTTACAGAGCTTATGTTTATATTGTAAAATCCGACTCTAAATAAAATTTTATGATTCTGTTTTAACTCTCCCAGTCAATGTTTTGTTTAAGAAATTATACTGTGTCTTTAAAATCGCCCCGTTTAAAATTCGCCCACCTGTAAGAAGGGCGAAAATTCCCGTGTAAACAATACACTTTATCATTGAGTCAAATGCTGACTGACGTTTTTCATACAAATTGTTAGTCCATTATTCATACACTCACGTGATGAAGAAATTTTTCGTTATTTCGCGATAATGACAAGGAGCCGACGGCGGGTGTGACCGGTCGGCACCGGATGATCATTCCTCCATGGCACCTGATCTCACCTCTGATGTTTTGGAGGTTTTTTTGCTCTGCTTCTATTTTTCATTGTTTTATGGACTTTGATATTGTATAGTGTTCGTTATCTCCATATCCCTCATTAAAAAACGGACCTCGTAACTTTACCTTCCTTGTCATTGGTCATTTTCAAGATTAATTTGTTAAAAAATCATGATGAATGTACACACACGTACTCTGAAGTAACATTAAAAAGATGTCTCTGATTGACGATATTTATGTGGTTTCTGGAGATCAGGTCTTCCAACAAACAATTGGAATTCTCATGGGTACTAGTTAAGCCCCGTTATAAGCAGACTTATTTTTATATTCATTTCATATGAAGCAGAATTTGTCCAAAATCTTTTGTTTGAAACGAAGAAAACACTTACTGTGCCCTTTAACTCGACATTTAGATAATTGGACGACGTATTGTCAATCAACAATGGTTATTTCCATTCTTTTATCCAAAGAATATATATATCCTGATGGGTTTGAGATAAAAGAGACCTCATAGAGTCTGACGCCTCTGTTTCATATTTAGACATTTTACTTGAAAAAGACGTTAATGGTAATCTAATAACCAAGCATTATGATAAACCTGATGAATTTAAATAACTTTTCAAATATCAACTTCCCTTTCTTAAATGTTATGCAGCAATAAACATGTATGTTCATCACCTTCATACGGTGTTAATATATCTCAGTTGATTCAATATTGAAGAACATGCTCTGTGTATGTACAGTTTCTTAAACGAGATAAATCATTGACAAACAAGATGATAAAACAGGAATATCAGCACTCACATTTAAAGTTATCATTTCATAAGATCTCTTGTCAATATAATGACTTTGTCAACAAATACAATTTATTCGTTTTTTCCGTTATTTCCCGATTATAACGACGGGTCTGACCGCTAGGCAGGGAATGCTCAAAATATTTCATTCACTAAATATTTTCTTTATTTGAAAACACGGTTGATATTCAATCAAAAAACGCTGCTAATCAAGCCAACTTTATTTCTTGAGCAGTGTCTTATGTACGATCATTCTACAATAATTAACATTTTAAACCCTACTTTTTGGATTATTTATACAAGTATAAATAAAGACGATGAACCATATGAAGATAACGAAAAGTATTCAAGATCAAAAGTCCATAAAACAAAACAAAATAGGAGCAAAGCAAACTCGGGCCTCCAAAACATCAGAGGTGGGATCAGGTGTCTTGGAGGAGTGAGCATCCCCTGCCGACTGGTCACACTCGCTGTGTGCCCCTTCTCGGGGAATAACGGAATAATTCGTAGTCAATTTTGTTTGTAAATGATGGACTAACAATTAGTATAAAAATTAGTCAGCATTTGAATTAATGGTAAATTGTATTTACTGACAAGGTCCTTGTATCGACAATAGAACTTACGAATGATGGCTTTAAGCGAGACTGCTGATAATCTTGTTTCATCAACTTGTTTGTTAATAATTTACCTCGTTTAAGAAATCCCTACATAGAACATGCTCTTGCAAATCGAATTAACTGAGATATATAAACTCCGTATGCAGGTGATGAAGGTATATTGCTGCATAAGTAAAGGAAGTTGACGATAAAAAAGTTAAAGTCATCATAGAGCTTGGTTGTTAGATTACCATGAAAGTCTTTTTCAAATAAAATTTCCAAATATGAAACAGATGTGTCAGAATCTGTGGTGTCTTTTGTCTCAAGCTATCGAAATAAGAATGAAAGTTACCATTGTTAATTGACAATACGTTGTCGACGTCTAATATATCTAAATGACAAGTTGAAGACCACAGGAAGTGTTCTCTTCTATTTTGGACAAATTCTGCTTCATATGAATACAAAAATAGGTCGATAAAATGTCTTTGTTACTACGGGGGATAACATTGCAGCTAATGCATAATAAAATAGCATAACCAACGTAAAATGTATTTTTTCTGCAACAATTGAAATATTAATTTCCATACCTACAAGCAAAGAAAGAATTTTTTGTTTAAATTAACGAAATGTATTCAACTTCACTGATGTATTAAGCGATATAGAAAAATCATATTTATGTCTTCTAATGCTTATAGGCAAGATCACCGCAGCTTGTTTTTGCTAATTTTGTAAAAGTGAAATAAAACACTTTCATTGTTGTTGCAAATGAAGTTTTTGTCTAGGTTGATTTGATGCGCAAGAACATATTCTTCATATAAACAATTTCTTATAAGAGACAAGTTATTGACAAAAAACTATGATACAAGGATAAAGTCTAATTTGAAATCAACGTTTCACAAACTACATGGTCCATAGACTTGATGCAATGATCCTGTTACGTGTAGGTTGACCTACCTTTCACGCAATTTCAAATAAAGTCACAAAAGTTAGTGCATCGAATGTTCTACTAATTTTCCACTCATCCGTTATCAAATTTCATTTGATATGTCATGGATATGATGCGAAGTCTCTTCCCCCTCTTCTTATAATTTGTTTTAAATCCTTCTGTGAATTTGGCTTTCGAAATGTAGGTTTAAAAACATGATTGAATGATTTTTTCCATAAAGATGAAGCTCTGGATGTTGATTTCCTTATTATTGTGTGAATTCACAATGTCGCCTATAATCTCGTTAAATTAAACTTATACGATTGGTTGCACTTTCTTGCACATGACACCTGTGAATTTGATACTAAATTGTGTAATTTAGTCTTTTATTCAAGATATAAAGTTACTGCACCAATTTCGGTTATATAAACACAGTATGCATATTCTAATTTCCTGGGTGTTAGCAACACTTTCTGTGAGAGAATTATAAAGTCAAGTAAACGAAAAGGTATTAAACTTTGTGCTGAGTTTGATATTTGAATTATTTAAAAGAGAGAGAGAGAGAGAGAGAGAGAGAGAGAGAGAGAGAGAGAGAGAGAGAGAGAGAGAGAGAGAGAGAGAGAGAGAGAGAGAGAAATATTTGCATATTTGTGTTCATCTGAAGAGCTGAACCTATAGAATGAATTTCTCACTTGCATTTAATATTATAGTTTTGTTTGTTTACATTCTATTTCGTGCATCACTGTTTAAGCATTTCAAGTGCAGATGGGATTCAGTTAGTCATATTTTCCTGAAATATATAATCTGAATTTTAACAAAGCTAGGCTCCAATATCACTTGTACAGAAAGTTCCTGTGTAAAAATAAATATATTAAAAATTACAAACATCTATCTCGGCTTTAATATTTTATCTTATCCGAAAATTACACTCAGTAAGAAAGCGCCTGTATTGTTTTGCGAATGTGATAATTTTAATGCAAAACCATTATCAAAATATTTTTAAATAATTTGAAATGCTTATGATGAAAATTATTGTATTCTTGTATTTGACGGATATTTCAGGTAAAGAAATCATTTCTTTATAATATTGGTCGGATACCTTTATCGGAGATATTTATACACTATAGTTAAGAAGAAATATGCTATTTTATTTCAGTTATTGTCTCTTGTTTGTCATCCTGAACGAAATGTTGTATAAATGAGAGAACTGGTGTCGCAGTTTACATTTTTCTCTTTCTCCAGTACGAGGAAGTCTATCCTTGTAAATCTTAATTTACAACATTGAATTAATCACCACAACTGGACAGTTGTATTTTTGAAACACGTACAGTTGGTTCTTCGCAGAGTTTTATTTCGCAGGTTTCGCAGAGGAGTTGAGAGGACAAACAGGTGGACAGGCTTTTCCCCAATATGTATTTGATCATTGGCAACTTCTATCAGGCGACCCTCTGGAGCAGACGTCACAAGCCGGAACTGTCGTAGCAATCGGCAATCCTCGGCTGACTTCGCTAAGCTCCATTCAAACCTCGGATGTGATAGGTGGAGTAATACGCATCATGTCGATACATGTCGAAACTGTCTCGTCACTCATTTCATATTTCGCTCTGCCTAAAGCTCTTATGTGAGGTTTCTTTATTTGTGTAATTCCTCATGTTAATTACAACAATATAGTTGAAAGCAAGAACACAGTGTTGAGCCTGCAACAAAGTAACTCGGATTTCAAAAGTATAACATTGGAATGAAATTCAAATAAGATCACATGACTGACTCAGCAAGATGGTAGAAGGGGTTAGTGTGCGAGGTTTGAGCCACCCGGGGAGCTCGGAGTGCTGTTGTAGCAGAAGTCAGACAGCGGAAAGGTCTCAATCCCATCAAACACAAACTGTACAACTTCCTGGATAAACTTTAAAGAACATATTATTTAACGAAGATGAGGTTCTTTGTAATTTATACGGAGTTCAAAGTGAACTATCATATTTATATAATTAATAACATCAAACTATTTGAAAATAACATCAATTTTTTTCTGTGAAAATAAAGAAAGGAAAGAAGACATTGATGGGAATTACAAATTATAGTTATTTCTCTTTATTCAGATGGGAGAGAAAGTGTGTTGAAACACTATTCTAAAAATTTACGAATTTCATCAGTACAGCACATTACCGGCATTTGCATGAGTCCGCATGACCATCACATCCTAGTAATACATGGATATATAAATTACTTGCAAACAAAATCATTATAATGAAAAAATCTCGATCTTCGCAGTTGTTTTCAAATCAGTAAGAAATGCTTTCAAATAATGTAATCTTTCTGAGGAAAAAAATTAAAAGTTACAAAGTGACTTTTATTAATTTCATTTGATGACGATCTATGTAAACAGAGTATAACATTTTCAATTTCTTTTTAAAATTCCATTATATAAAGAATGTCAACAGTTCTGTTTAGACATAAAAGTCGGATTGAAACGTTAAAGCATATTGAGATATGAAAACACCATGACACAAAAGCATACGACATTAATAATGCCTTATCATTTTCAGTATATGCCAGTAAAATAGGCTATAAAGTAGAAAACTGAAATATTAAATTGATGTTACAAATTTTTGCCGTCAAATTAGAATTGCAGTTGTCCTAAAAATCTTTTTTCTATACATTTATGCGTCATTTTCTGTTGATGTATATATCGTGATTTTGTTCTTCTACAGGTTGCTAAGGTAAAGTTTGGATTAGATTTATCCTTAAAAGAACAACAAACACCATTTCTTCTGCTATTTTGCGCAAATTTTCCATTGCGTTATTCTTAATATAATTAAGGATAAATTTCATACAGCAATGTATGCATAAATATTTAGTCCACGAACTCTATTTGTATTCTAATATATGTACTTTGTAGTTTTGACAGTCTCCTAAAACATTAAGACAAGTTTAATTCTAGATGAGTTTTCAGAAAGAATTCTATTCATTCTCCATGAAAAATCCCAAGAAGTCCCAATTGCAAGTGGTTTCCCGCCATATTTTCAATGGCTTATGGTCGCCTGCGAGGTGCAGTGGTTAGAGGTTTGGTCCTAAATTAGCGGAGTAAGGAGTTGATCTTAACGTCGTGGGTTCGAATCCTACTGTGGGACGTGGTAAGCGGTCCCTCGGATGAGTCAGAGTAAATTAAGATCATGTTTTGCAGTAGGTATTGGCATCAAAGGATCCCCGACTGCTCAATTGCCCTGATTGCCGAGCATGAGTATGTAACTTGCAACCCTTCGTCGACAATTAGTGGCTTCTCCATATGTATGTGAAAAATTTCTCAAGGCACGTTAAACATAAACTCAAATTGTTCTACATTGTATTTTGTTTCAAAAATGAATTCATCGAATTTAAGTATCAAAACTAAAAATTTGAGTGCAAGCTATCTCAACCGAACACATATACAGTACACCCTTCAACCAATACAGCAGTATGAATAAAAATTGTAGCGGCAGAGCACAACCTTTTTTGTTTTGGTAACATTGTCTTTGTCACAAAATCCCTGTCCTCTTCAGTATCTTTCATAAAAGCATACCTCATATTTTTATATCTATTAAATGATTTTTAAGTAATTGTATATATTAAATAAAATAAAACTAAGGCTAGAAATTATTTCTTACATATATCCTAATATACCAGTACATGTAACCTTTTAACGTGGAGAGATATAGTTATCATGGTTTAATGCATCCAAAACGACGACAACAACACCAATCTAATATGAAAATAAAAAGAATCTTGAGTTTTTCAATGATGTTGGTGAATGTCTTAATCTAAGGACCGCCTTGCAATTTTAAAGCTGTTGAATTTCAATTTTAACTTTAAACAAGGTCTTCAAAAGTAATGTTTTTATTTTTTAATCGTATACTACATAAAGAATACAATTCAAATAAGAAAAATATGTACGAAAAAATAGTATCAAACTGATGATACAATTTCTCCGGATCCGTTCAAAGTGAAATGGATGTTACTCCAAAAATCTTGTTTCTCTGGGTCATCTTTTGGATACTCAATGTAAGATTTTTTATCCATCATTTCACGAAGATGTAGAGGTATTTCGGGATTAGGTAAAACTTTGTAGAGTACCACAAACAACATCTCCTCTCCTGCTCTCTCGTAAAAACTTTCCATTTGCGCCATTCTTAGTTCAAACATACACCAGTAAGATTTTACAAATTCTGGCGAGAGCACAAAAACAGTGTATCGACTTTGATTTATCGCTGTTGATATATTTTCTGCTATGTCATATCCGGGTACAAAGTCCCGGAAGTGAAGACAAAGTTTAAGGTTTCGCTCAGTTTCTAACTTTGGTAACATCTTCTTAATCACAAAACCCCTGTCCTCGTCAGCATGGGAAATAAATGCATCATACTTATATATCAAATGGTTTTTGAGTGATTTGTACCCATGAAATTTACTTTTGGTCGCGTAATAAAAATATCTAACCTTCCAACGGTATCGGTAGGCGATTCGTGAAATTAGGAGAACAAGGACCACGGTTATCAACACTGACATTCCTGCAGCTAGCTCAGAGTACGGTCCACACCTCTTATCCAACTCAATCAAGATTTTTCTGTCTTTGAAGGAGAAAATTCTTTTATCCTCCGTGAAGCAGTTAAAAGTTTCAAATGATAGTAAGTCAATATTTTTCTTTTGTTGTAGAAACATCCACTTAATAGACGCTTTTGTATCACAGTTACAAAGTAAAGGATTGTTACGTAGATCTAATGTTAATGGATAATTCCTCCCATTTGTTATATCATCCAACGTACGTCTTGTTGTTTCTGATAAAGATGCTAATCGATTATTTGTTAAGTTCAAAACTTTTAAACTTTTCATATGGCCGAATTTGAATAAAAGATTATCTATTAAATTAAAACTAAGGTCAAGTTTCGAAATGGCAGATAGTGATTGAAACACGTTTTCCGAAAGCGACTCAACTTCATTATTACTCAAGTCCAAATGTGTCAAATTTGTTAATTTTTTAAAAATCCTACCATCAATATCTCTAGCTAAAGAATTGCCAAGTTTGTTTTTTGACAGTTGCAATGTTTCAATAGAATTCCAGAAATCAAAGAAATAATCGGAAATATATTTGCAATTATTTTTGGATAAGTTTAAAATCTTAAGTTTCGTTAATCCAATGATTGGACCTATTAAATTGGATAGTTGATTTCCCTGCAATGAAAGACTTTGTAGGCTATTTTCTAAAAATATTACTTTTGGAACATCATATCCCAATGAACCATGGACCAAATACATTATTTTTAGTTTTGGTGGAAGTGGAAAAACTAATGGAAACTGTGAATTTTCTCTGCGTCTTTTCAGAGAACTTTGAACAAAACCAACACTTCGTTTAGTAATTGTGTGGTGATTTACTGAATAAGGCAAGTCATCTTTGCATTTTAAATCTGTGATGAAATTCCCGCCAATCAAGTCATGTGATGAAAATGACTGACTCACATTTAACCAAATAAGGTTTCTCATTGCACTGAACTGGAAGATATATATGCCTTGTGTTAAACGATTGTCAGCTATAGATAAGACTTTCAGTCGCCGGAATATCCATGTAACATTGGCCTCCAACAACTCAATTTTATTGCTATCCAAGTATAGCTCTGTGAGGGATGTATTTTGAATGTACCATACATCATCCCACGTGACTTTTGTTCCCATTCCAAAAATGCAGTGTATCTGTTTAATTTTTAATATATATATGGATGTAAATTGTAAATCAAAAGTAAGATTCCTAAGATTTCTAAAAGTGAATTCCTTATTATATGACAAATCTAGTTCTTTTAAATCCGATAATCCAGAAAATGCATTTAAATGCGATGATTTTATTCCACAGTGTGTTAAATATAATGTCCTTAAATGCTTCAGATGTGTAAAATAATCTTTATCAATAGTCTCGACTTGACAATGTCCGCCATTATTTCCCGAAATATCCAGATGGTAGAGTTTCCTTAGCTGGGAAAATTTTCGACCGAATCTGCTATTAGGAAGTCCATTGATAGACAGGTGACGTAACCCGGTTAGCAGTGAGAGACTTTTAGGATATGCCTCTTTGTTTGGGTCTGGTGGGTCCTTGACCTTCATACTGAGAACTTCCAGATTGGTTAATCGTTCAAACAACAAAGGAGGAAAAGTCTCATCGTTTAGTTTAAATTTGTTATTCGAAATATTAAGCGTCCTGAGCATTATCAAATTATCAAAGGTGCTACTATGAAAGTTCGTTATATCGTTGTAAGACAAATCTAAATAAGTTAGCGATTGCAGGTACGATAAGTTTGGATATTTCGTTATATTGTTGTTGCTTGCGTCTATTTGAGTTACTTTTTGTGAAAATTTGGGAAGAAATATCAATCCTTTTCCTGAACAATCTGCTTTTAGGCCATCCTGAAGATCAATGCAATGGCATTTGGGATCCTCGGTGCAAAACGTTGAGCGTGCTCCTCTCAAAATGATACAATATGCGCAAATCACTACAATGTACACCTTTTCCAACATTTTCCGACCTTCAAAAGATAGGGTATCAATTTAGTTGAGGTATAAACAAAAAGAAAACAATTTCAACTGCTAAAAAAAGTGAGAAACTTACTTTATTTTGCATGTTATTACTAAAAGATAAAATACAGAAAACGAAGCTCCTTCTTGAAACAAACAAAAAAACTTTGTTGAATAATGTTGGAGATGTCTATATTATTATTCTAAATATCACCTCAATTGAATCAGGATAAAGAGTGTGTAAAGAATATGCTGAAAATCAAGAAAACGAAAAAAATCTTAAATCACAAACTTTAGCAAAGTTAATAGTAGTATGCTTACTCCTCCATAGCACCTGACTCCACTTCTGATGTTTTTGAGGTCCGTGTTTGCTCTGCTCCAATTTTGTAT